ATTGATACGGACCGCCGGAGCGCACGTTCCCATTTAATGTAACTATAGGTTGTCATATTTTAGCAAACAAGCGTGTGCACAAATTTACCATTCGGTATTAATAATTTCTTCTTTTTAGTTTTACCGGAAACAAATCCATCGTCATTATTTTATTTTATCCAATTTTTATACTTTATAAACTCTGCATTATATAAAAGAAAACCGAGTCAGCGTAAAAAAAATTATATTTTTTTTAAATATGTAGTTATTATTACAATTGCATTGTTTGATCTTACTTTATAAGAACTTATCATTATTACTTGAATAATAACTAGAAGAGTTTTAATAGAAATATTGTTTTTCTTTAGTTAAAAAACCATTTTAATGATTAACTTATTATTGTTTAAATTTTAGTTGTGATTATAATTATAACTAATGAATGTTATACTCAAGTATGACTACTATAAACATTAATTGTATCGTGTAAGCAAAAATACTGACAATTATGTAATCCAATTACACTATAATATTTTAAGAATTTCACTGTTTTTGAAAAATGATGAAAGGTTGATAAATTTATTAAATTTGTATCACAAAAAATAGCATATTTTTTTTTTATTAGTAAGGGTATTTTTTATGTCCTTGGTTGAATAACAATCCAGTATATTTTATGTACATTGAAATGTACATAAAAACAGACAATTAAAATTAAAAAATAAAACAATAGTAAAAATTTAGTAAAGCTATTATAGGTATAAAATTTTAGTTTTTTTCGTTCTTTATGTTTATCTTCTTTGATAATAAGATAAATAAATTAGATCTGTTCTTTTTCATTAAATGGATTTTTCGCCATCCCTGTTTCTTCTTTATCATTTCTTGGAGTGCTCAAGCCGATCTAGGAGCTATAGGTTAATCATCTGCGAATTTAATTGATTTTCTTACATCTGCTTATGCTCATATAATTACTATCGTCTCCAATGGCTTTATTCGTCATGTATGTAGCCAAAATAATGTTTTAGAATAGATATTGAAATTAAATAACTATGAAAGAATAATTTTAACATCAATCAACATTTCATATAAACATCAGTATTGTTACGTACGGTAGCTTTTTAATTGTATAAGTTTTTAAATTGTAATTTATAGTTGAAATAAAAAAAGAAAACTTAATTACGGTTAAATTATCTTTAATCGATGGCTTGCCGTACTATTATAACATAAAGTGTATTTTCACGCAAAATACATCATAATTTCCATTAATAATAATACAAAGCGGGTGGTCATTAATTCTGCCGTATTCGCAATCCTTTCAAACCTCCGCATGGGTCTTATAATGACTAAATAAAAAACACTCGGTGGATACACGTTTGCCGTCTCAACACGTCTAATAGCTACAAAACGCTTGGGCGGTTTTTATACGCAATTTGTCAGGGTGGAAGCATAGGAATATATATTGATACTGATGAAAAAAAAACATGGCAATAAATAATAACATCTTACTTAAATTGTTTTCAACCCCTTGCAAAAACGATTCATAATCGATTTTTGGGCATAGTATAGGTAACCGTATTCGCTATAAAAATAATTAGTTTCATCGTCGAGAACGCGCATGACTCGCGTAATAATTTAAAAAATTATTTGAATTACAAAATAAAGAATATTTATATCTTGATACTACCAAAAGACCGATCTTTGGATGAAACGGTTAAGTAACACTTCTATTGTGAGATTTAAAGAAGATTCTTTGTGTTTATAGACTAACAAGTTGGTGCTACCTGTCGGTCGTTTTCTATTGTAATACAATGTCTGGTTTTTTTCTTTACTCGAAATATCTTATGGGAAACGTTGACCCTCAAAGGAAATTATAGAGTTTCATGGAAACGGCTTTTGTTGCTACTCTTTTTTCGTGTAACCACTATGATTCGTTGTCGCATTGTTTCATCTTAAAATTACTCAAAATTGTTCTGACTTACATAATACACCTGAACAATTAATGTATATGAAAAATTAAGAAAAGTAACATGGACAACGTGTGTTTCAGAGGTAATAGTGTCATACCACAATTATACAATCCATGTGAATAACGCGATACTGGTTGTCTGATTTGAATGGGATAGACGAGCTACCGAGAAAATCTGAGTGGTTTCCTTGTAAATATTTGCGGCTACATTTTATGATAAGTATAGTCATTTCTAGGCAATAAAAATATCACGATAACGCAACTAATAACAATAAAATATCAGCCTTAATTTACGATTCACGTAATTTCTAAAACAGCTCAAAACAGTAGGTACAGTTTTTAGAATTGAGACGATTATTGAACAATTTTTAACCGGTTGTAAGGTGATAACAATTTACATCGCACGTTATATTTTTATATTAGTATGTTAATTTAACGAGTTTAACTTGATTTATTAAATGATTTAAAATTAATTCTAAATATAAAAGTGGCCCTAAAAAAAAGCATCTATTAGAGGGTAAATTTTGAAAAAATCGGATCAAATCCTTGAAAATTCGAAATTGGATTCTTTCCGTAAATACGGCGGCAATGAGAAATAATTTTTAAGAAAATATCAAAAAAAAATATTGATGAAAGAAAAGGTCATTGAGGATAAAAATCTCGGTGACCCTTTTGCCAATCTGGCATTGGTGGTTATTTAGAAATCATTAATAAACAATATAGAATATAAAATGAGGTTTATCAACGTAAAAATGTAGCTATGATTATTTTTTGATTTTTACTCAAAATAAATACTTTTATAAGTGTTACTTTATTAATTTGTTTCAAAGAATATTAGTTTTTTTTAATCTAATTAACTAACTTTTTAAAGAACAGAATCTTTCAAAATATTGAAAATACTTATTTAAAAATGGTGCCGTGACTTATTATAATAAAAATAAAAAAAAAAAAAACAACCAAATTCTAGACTCTAGACATCGTTAATTCCCAGCCAAGTGTCACCAATAGGTGATATCTTAATTCAAAATATTCATGCCAATATTATAACATCATAAATACTTATTGTGCTATGTTGTACAGAATGTGTATTTCAAATTTTAAATAAAAAAAAAAAGTCAGAGTTTTCAAAAAATGCTTTCGTGTAAGTGAAAAAATGACCATCAATAAAAACAATTATACTACTATTTTCATGAAGTATTGTGTCCGCATATAAGTAACAATCAAAACCTTTGCTTTGTTTCAATATTTAATATAATACATGATGCTGAGTCATTGTCCGTTGGATGACTAAAAGATTGATTTTTGGCGCCTTTTTTTTATTTCTATTACCTTTGTTGAAAATCATCTAACGCGGCGCTTCCGAATCTTTTTGTGCAAACCGCTAATGATGTAACAAAATTACTAGAGGCGTTGGTCAGTATCATTCTCTATATAGGGTGGTCTTTGCCGACAAAGACCTAACATAATTTTGATGAACAAACGAACACCAATAACCAGTGAAAACATCGAATTTTTAGTTGTAATATTGACAAATCGTTAACAAACAACATTTCCTAACAGTTATTATAGCTATGCGTTAACTATAGTTCTATTATTCTTTATTAATAAAATTACAGTTTCAGCACAATTTTAATTATTTGGCTGTGATCTTTAAACTGAATTTATTTAAGAAACTACTATTAAACATTAATATTCTTTAGATTTGTTAATTTTTTTACATAGCCAAAAGTAATTTAATCAAATATATAATTAATAATAATAGTAATTAATTTATTAACACTAAAATCAAAAAATGAATATATATGAATATTTACAAATATAAGATAATTAAAAATATATAAAAATTATTATATGTAACTTATTAAGAAACCAATAATACGATCAATGTATATTATATTAAATATAATTTTTATATATATTTGTTTTATTAATTTATTATTATAATACTGTCGTTAGATAAATCATAAACATTTAAACAAGTATTTGAAGTTGCACTGCACTTATTAAAGATGTGCATAAAATTATTATAATAAATATTAGATTCATTTTGGTCAATTGATGCAATTTGTCTATACAATCTCAATATTGAAAATAAATTTAAGTATTAGACTATTACTAATAATAAATTAAAAATTATAAGGAAATGACAATATATTAAAATTATGTACAATTTTATTTCTAATACTTAAGACACCATATAAAGTTATCAAAATTTATTAGTACATATTTTTGCATGTTTAGCGATTTTTAGATATTGGAACATATTTCTTAATTGTACAATTTTTTAGAGGATTTTATCGTGTTGGGTCTTATTTATTATCAATTAAAAAAACATTANGGAGCATATTTCTTAATTGTACAATTTTTTAGAGGATTTTATCGTGTTGGGTCTTATTTATTATCAATTAAAAAAACAGTACCAATTAGTTCAATATTAATAAAATGGAATCAATTAGAAAAGGCATGGTTGTACACCAAGACATCTTTTGTACAAATATTTTTAAATTATTTTATTCGGTAGGTTTAAAAAATCATACTGGAAATTTTATCATACGTTTTGTTAATATAATACAAAAATTTTATCACTTCTAACAACAATGAGTAAAAAAATATAAGTGTTTCTTTTATTATTAACAAGCTCTGAATAATTATGACGACGATAAAATCTTCAAAAGTGTTTGATATGAATTTTTTTTTAATTAATTGAAAAAACTATTGCCAAAACATTGAAATACAAATTTCATATAAAGAAATTCTTTAAACACTTTTAAAATGAGTTGAAACATAGTATATATTGACAATTTTTATGAAATATTTTTTGTTTCTGAAATTTTATTTTTAAACATAAGCCTACTACATTTATTATATTAAACAAATTAATCAAAAGAAATTTTGATTTATGACAATATATTGTTTATTGATTAACAATTACGTAAAATATTACTTACAATATTTTTAAATCTTCATTTTTAACCATAAATTTAAGTACTTAGATGTATTATAATGTATAATTTACTAGTATTTAGTATTTTTTACTTAATACATTAAAATCTGTACAATATTAAATTTGAATAATAACTGAATAAATAGAATAACTTAGCAGATTGTACTAGTACCTTAAATGTAAGGATAGTAAAATTTTAAAGAATCAATATCTAATCGAATACATTCCTCTGTGTAGTGACCATACATTAAACAATAATAACATCTATAGATAGAAAAAATAACAAAATTAATTTAATTATTTATAATGTTAAATCATTTAATAATTACCGTTGGCCATAAATGTTTCCCACTATTTCTACATCTTTCGCCCAATTTGCTTGTGAATCATCGACAGCAAACTCTGCTTTTTGGGGAGATTTATAATATTTATAAGAACCAACAATATCTTTCTAAAAAAAAAGACAATTTTAAAGGATTTTTTGTATTTTTTGTATTTTTTTGAAATAACCAAAATATATTATCAACTTCATGCAAAACTGCGAAACATGATTTTTTCAATTATTTTTGGGGAATACAAAAATGCGCTATTTTTATATAGATTAAAAGAGAATTATTATATGTTTAATGCCCAATTACTACAAGAAATTTAAGATTTTTTATTTTGGTGTACGTATACTCCATCCGTCTTACTTTATATATTAAAAACTTGACTAGTTTTTTAAAAACGCAGGTTCTGTCATGTAAATGACAATAAAATAATATGCCTACCTTATAAAATTTATAACATTTTCCATTTTTTGAAATAATTCTACCGGCTTTATTATTTTTCCCAAAATGGCGTATAACACCTTCTTGTTTACCCGTTTCCATGAACACTACTTCTTGAGTAGCTGTTACTTCAAGTTCTGGGACACAATTATTTTGGTGATTCTCCTCAGTTATAATATGGGAAGTGCAAAGTTTATTCGCATCTTCCTGTATATCCATACTTTCCATAGCAATCTTGTCGTTATCACTCTCTTGTTTAACTGTCAACAAACCTTCTTTACAAGCTATTTTGAGCTCTGGGGTACAATTATTTTGGTGATCCTCTTCAGTTATAATATGGGAAGTGCAAAGTTTATTCGCATCTTCCTGTATATCCATACTTTCCATAGCAATCTTGTCGTTATCACTCTCTTGTTTAACTGTCAACAAACCTTCTTTACAAGCTATTTTGAGCTCTGGGGTACAATTATTTTGGTGATCCTCTTCAGTTATAATATGGGAAGTGCAAAGTTTATTCGCATCTTCCTGTATATCCATACTTTCCATAGCAATCTTTTCGTCACCACTCTTTTCTATTACAGTAAATACACCACCTACTGCCACTACATTTTCAATATCGATATCTAAAATTTGCGTTGTGGTAAATTCTATGTTTTTAACGTCTAGACGTACATCACCTGACATAATTTCTAATTAATATTTCGAATTTCATTATTATTATAGTCTAATCAATCATTACAAAATTATATATTTTTAATAAAACTAATATAATATCTTTATACACTTTCTAAAGTGTATTTTTTTGAGTTAATTGTTACACTACTGACACTTCGGGGAAAGCTCAATATATTATTGTTAACTAAGCAACTAGACTTAAATAATTAAATCTAGGACTAGGTTTTACATAAGGTCAAAAAATTAATTGGGACTTGGTTATAATGATTTCAAATTAAAATTTTACGTAGACCAGTGTTATTAATATTAATAGATTGAAAAAAAATTGAATTATGGTATTATTTTAATAAATTTTTAATCACTTAAACTTGTATAGTTTTCTTATATAAAAAATCGTAACAAGCACATTAAGTAATTAAAAAATTAAGGTGGTAATTAATTAAGTAATAATATATTTTTCAAATTTTTACTGCAGAAATGAAATATTTTTTATTTTCTACGTTAATAAACGTAGTATTTTTTCTTTAAGCAACATTCCTATAGTAACTATATAAAATAGGTATTCTATAAGTCATTTTTTAAGTTACTGTCCAAAAACATCAATATCACACTATTTGAGGGATGCCAAGAAGGATGATAGAAGTTCTCACACCCCATTTGAAAATAAATAACGTCTTATATATATGGTTAAATTGAAAAAGAATAAACTTCCATGAGCCCCTAAAATGTTTCCCTGAATTTTAAATTTATAAAATCTAAATATTTTGACTACAATACAACTCGCGTGCTAAAAAAAAAATGTAATTTTATGTTACATTAGACATCAAAAAGTGTCATTTATGAAATTGATCTATATAAAATATAGATGAAGGTATAAAATCAATGTATTGAATAAACTAATGTTAGATGCATCGCCTCATTAATGTAATCCTATACAAAAACATTAACAGCACTTATCTTCTAAAGTCTTAAAATCGTCTTAGGCAATGGTCAATTGATATTTTCAATTATAAATATAATATTTCACAGAAAATTTTTCTTCTTTTTCCAGCTTAATGTAATATTTATCCCGTTATGCAACATCAAATTTTAGTGTAGTAAATTCCTTATTATGTTTAAGTACATTTTTATATTTTTGCATTATCCAATATACGTTTTTGTTAGTTATTATATAATAGCATAATTACACAACTAGTATAATATTATTAAACTAGTTTAATACTACTAAACAATGTCTGACACTTGATGAAGAATTACTTGATAAGTAATTCTTATCTTTCCATGGACCCTTTTTGAATTGAATAATTAAAATGTTAAAAATTTCAATAATATTGAAAACCATAAAATTTCTGCTAGATAGTATTTTGGGAAAGTGTAATTCTTAGAAAATTAATTAAGAATTTGAGAGTTGGAGTGTAAATTACATTGAATTATGAAATCACAATCAGGATCATCTAATAAAATAAGCATTGTTAACAAAGTGGCTTGTGCTTGGAATAATATTTTTCATGAAGAACATTAGACAGAAATTTACCACTTCCATAAAATGTTTATACTGCCACAAAAATGTGTAATAATTTAAGTCCTAAATAAATATTCGTAATAAAAACATCATTTCTAAACAGTGATGTGTCGTTTTTCAAGCATAGATCACTTTGGGCTAATGGTCATTGGTCAGCGGCCGTAAGTATCTCCTAAAATTAGCGACTGGCTACATTATAACGTTTTCATCTGCCGTTCGCCAACTTGATGACATTTCACCCAACACTGACAAACATATATTCGCTAGTTTTGTAGTCTCACCAAGCCGATCGAAATCTGATAGTAACGGCTAGTTCAATTCGCACCTAGCCTAATGTGACCTTTGCTTAAAACAAAAGTTATGCCATGGTGTCATTAATCGCAGCTTAAACACTGTACGTGGCCACTTGGTTAAACATTTTCAAGACAAAGATTTTGTACTCAGATTTCATAAGATATTACCTAACGAGCCATTATGTCAGATCGGATTTTTTTATAAATATAAAAATTCAGTACCCGAAATTCATGAAGATTAATGTATGTGTTTAGGCGTATCGAAATGGTATCCAGCCATTCACCGACGAATGATCGAGATAATTTAAATTAAGACGACAATTTAGACAATAAAGCAAATTATGTTACTTGTCTATAATTTTCGCGTGTTCTTAAAACTAAAATCTTACACGTCAACCTCAATATGTTGTCCAAAAATCCGCAAATCACACATTGAAATAGTGACACAATTTATTTATAGTTATTTTTATGAAAATAAAAAATGAGCAGCTATCTAGTTTAACTTAGCTAGAACATTTGACGCTATTTATTACAGTATTTTAATACATTAATTAAAAAATTATGATTGGAGGAACGTTTTAACACATTTTTTCTTCTACTTAAATAATAGAAACACAGAAGTTAATATAAATTAGTGTATTAGTTCTCTGTACCAGGTACAAAGAACTAATAGTTTCAATAGGTTCTATTAAAATACAGGATACCGAGATCATTTTTGTTGTTTATCATATTAAGCTAATTTCATTAAAAAAATATCTAAGCTAGATTAATCTAAGATACTTTACCACTTGTATTATGCTTTTTATTCTCCGAAACACAGCATTTAAATAATGTTGCTAATCGACGAAAAAATCTCTTCACCTTCATCGTAATGATGTTATATACAATAAAATCAATGTACTAAAATATTTCTTACAAAATTTTTAATGATTATTAGTAATTCAATACAAGCACAAAAAAATAGTTTTTCTTGACCGAAGTTAAAAAACAAACTAATTTATATTTGATCGTAAATATCTGTATATCAATATTAAGTATCTCGTAGCAACGCAATTTTACTATTCTTATGATTAGAATATACACTTAAAGAATAAATTAAAATATTATCAAACATAGAATTAAAAAAATAAACTTTTTTTTAATTGTTTTTTTGACAACATTTGACATAAGCCATATCACGATAGTTCAGTGAGGACAAGTGAATTTCGATTTTTAATTTTAGTATTTGGTTTGTTACAAGATAAATATTTAGAAGTTTTTCAGTAATCAGATTTTTTTCTGTACACTTATATTACTTGAGCAATCACTAATGTACTCTTTATTATAAATAATCAAATGAAAATATTATTGTACTTTTTAAAATATCTCATCACTTATTTGTTTAATAATATTTCACACAATTGCTAAATAATTTAAAATTTTTATCATTGTAACAGTAAAATAACATCCATAAGTGTTAATGGGGTGGCTAAGTCTTTAATTGCTGGAATAACCCAGAATAACTATACAAATTACACATAATATTTTATTTTAAAATGATAGTTATAATATGACTTGTCTGAAAATTAATTTTTCTTCTAGTTACACTAAAAATAACATTTATTATTTTGATTATTAATGTTTTGTAAAATAATGTCTTTTACAATGAAAGACAATAAAATTTCCAAAAGGAATTTATAAGAAAGAGGTTTTCATGTTGTTAAAAGTTTAACATTTAGTAATTTATTTTTCCCCATTCCTTTTGCTAAAATTAAAAGTACTAAACTTAATTGAATAATAATAATTTGGGCGCCTAAACTTATCAAATTAACATGATATTAATTAAAATATATTATAAAACTATTAAATAAGGAAAACATTTTGATTATTTTTACGCTAGCAATCAATATTTTTAAAATAATAACTTTATGTGATTTTTTTTTTGGCCTTGGTTAGTTGTTACATACGTATCGCTTTTTATCTGTTATAAAATATTTTTTGTGTTCATCCCACATGTTTAATAAGAATATCAAAATTATTTTTTTTAAATAAAAACATACATAATTAATTAGTTTATAAAATAGAAAATGATCCAATTAAGAAAATAACTGCTCGATATCAACTTTTGGACTAGTATTTCATAAGTTAACAATTTAAAGTGATGACTGGAGGGAGCTGCCATTTTGTCAATACATATTTTTTGTCCTGACTTCTCCTACAAGCTAGGTATAAAGATGTTAATAACTTCTGAAATGCTAATTCAAAAGTTGTTATCGAAATTGTCATTTTCGTAAATAGATATTAAAATAAGCTAGTTAATTATGTGTTATCATTGTCATCAAACATGCCACAATTATAAGTTATAAGAGATGAATATAACCTTTTTTTTTATTGATACCTCAAAAAAAACTTTGAACTAAAAGAATGCAAAAAAAAAAATTATTAATATTATTTTTATTTTTCGATTAATTTAGTGGCTTATGATACGTGATATATAAAAATTAAAATAAGTACAAAAATATTGCCTTGTTATTTTATAAAAAAAATATTATATCAAATAATAATTTTTGATGTACTGGGCTAAAAGTTATCCAACAGTCATTTTCTTAATATGATCACCTTCTATTTTATAAGCTAGTTAAATATACATGTTTTCATTTAAAAAAAATAAAGTTGACATCTCCATAGACTTATGGAATGAACACAAATAATATTTTACACCAGATAAATGGAAATACGTATGTAACTAGCAAAAGCCAAAAAACAAAATGCCCTAAAAAATTATTCAATAATAAAAATTGAGTGATTAGTGTTAAATGAATCATTCTGTATTTATATACTGATTTAATAAAAAAATAATCACATCTTATGAGTTATTTTAGGTTTTTTACTAGTTTTCTTATTTACTTTTTTTATAGTTTTTATTAAATAATTACTATTTTTCTTAGTTATTACAAAATAAGCTTAATTACATTTAGTTGAAGAGTCTTCAACTAAAAGTAATATCATCAATAATGGCATTGTCTTCAATAATTAAAAAATTACATAAATATTTTCGGAAAACTACAAATATTTAAAACACCAAAGTTTGAATTTCTTTCACAACTTAGAACTCTTTTGAAAACACGACAAATATTATTTATTTTTTACTCTAAAATTTTTATAACTTTTACAAAAGTTATAATTAGTTAATAAAATATTTTTGAGTATTTGTAAATACAACTGGCTTTTAGGTTTTATGTAAAAATAATTGCACAATCAATTTCATCAAACTTCTGAATAAAAGCAATTTGTTTATTTTAGAAATTTAACTGAAATTTTGTGTTATGACATAGGTAACGAACAATATTGACGCATAAAAATACAAAGACCCGAATTAATAATTCCTATCAAGTATATTTTATAGTGATAATACATAATATAAATATTAATCATTCAACATAATAATAACGTAACTAACGTCAACTGTCGTAAAAAACAAAATTACAAATATGATTTTTCCGTATACAAACATAAAATTAACATATTTCGATAGTTTTATATAAATTTGATGACATTTATTTATTTAATAGAATAACAAAAAAGAAAAATATTTAACAACAATTTTACTCCGTTCAGACGCATTTTCAATATGCATCAAAACGTACTGGTTCATGTTATTATAACATTTGTTTATACCTATAATACATAAATTTTATTTTATAAGTAATTAAATAAGAATATTTTGATTATTTCATTAATTTGCATTTTCATATTCTTATGTGATATTATTTTACAACATGGACTAAAAATTATTATAACCGACATAGCTTAAATGCATTTTTAAATTCTTTGCTAATCTACGAATAATAATTAATAATTAAATTGAACAGACTGGGAAAAAATTAGTCTTCACAATAATATTTGACAAACATTTATTTGATTAATTTGCATTCATATTAATTTTAATTTTGTATTCATTTTAACGGTCCGTTCAATTTATAACAATTAAATATTTAAACAATAATTGTAAACAAAAAACGTTTGAGCAGTGTTTTGTGGTAAATACTATTTACCGTGTGCTAAATATTAGCTTACTGGACTGAAAGACGTTCGTTTTTCAGATGAACGACAATATATAATAATAATAATAATAATAATGTACTTAAAATTGAGATTTTCGCGACAAGTGAAAGGTACAAGAAAAAACTTTAAATAAATACTAGAATTATAACAATTTTTTGGTCCTGTAGTTATGCTATGAATTATTTAAAAAAAAATCAAATTTTGAATTACTACCATTCTATGTTGTATTATACATGTATTTTCTTAGAAATCCAATAAAATTGCACACTTTTCATCATCGTTGTTATTCTTATATTTCGTTAAAATATAATTTTTTAATTTATGTATAAAAATGTATTACAGTACAACATATTCTTATAAATAAATAATTAAATAATCAGTATTGTAAAGACTAGGCACTATAGACTTTTTCAAAGTCGAAATATACTAAATGAAATTTACAAATAAACTAATTGTAATATTATTACCTTCATAATTTTGTGGTACTTTTTGTTTGACAAGTAATAATATGCACCAAATAATGTTACACAGCACGATTTAGAGCTTAATAAATGACACGCTAGGTCACATTAGGATAAAACTTTCAATTTTTATTTTTAAACAATATACCGAAGAGGTACTTAATGACATTTTGTATAGAAAGAAAATGTTTGTTAAATGATAATTAAAAATAAATTATTTTTTTATAAGCCAAGCCAAACGTTTAACGCACAAGTGTATAATATAATTTATATGTTGTTATTATATGACAATTAAAAACTTAACAAAGTACATAACAAAAGGAACGCGTTCATTAGTAGATAATACTTAATCACTAAATGCATGATTATTAAACTTTACCTATATTATTATTATATAACTGGGTATTATTCTTATATATTATCATAAATATATACATGTTTCCATGAATATAGATTGCCCACATTTTAACGTATTTAAATATTTAAAAAATACTTAATATTAAATCCGTTTACGTTAATTTACCTTAAATTTAATTTTGGAAGAATCCAATTAACAAGTAACACTTTAAATAAATTAACTATATTACTTATATTGCCCATGCATCAGTATAAATGTATCAGAAGTAAATTGGGGTTCCTTATTTAATAAGAAAGTGGATTAATTACCAATATATGTTCGTAACCCCATGAGCACTTTATATTATAACATGTACTTAATGTAATCTATTAGATAAACGATTGTTTCTAGTCTTATAGGATATTTTTGAGAAAAAAATGATAATTTTATAACAATTGGTATGGTTTTCATTTTTTATTCGGGTCAAAAGTTAAAAAAAAGTAAAAACAATGTAAGATTTGTATTGATTTATTAACATGATGAAAAATAACTACACTTGATTAAAAAAATTAATTTACAGTAAAACAATTTCAACTTAAACTCATTATTTTTATTGCAGCCTTATTTCGAATTTAGATAATCGTCTAACATAGAACGAATATCATATCCGTGTTTACTGGATATACAATGACACTAATTTTTATTGTGGTAATAACTTAACAGTTAATTTGTAAGATTATTATCATCACGCTAATTTTGTACACGTCAAATAAATGAAATGTTACCGGGAGACTTCTATGTATAAGTTGGTTATTTATAACATTATTATTGAGCAAATTGTTTCCATTCACCTCACCCTCACCAAGAATAATTACGCAGAACTCTAACCCCCAAAAAATATCAATATTGCTTTGATCAATTTTGGACAAGCTCTGGCATTTTAATCAGATCTAACCTTTTGTTTGAGGTCAGACCATCGAGTACTAATCGGTCGATGTAACGGATACAGGACAGTTTCTAAAATGAATATCTAACGCGTTTTTAATGAAAGTATTTTTATACGGTTTGTATGATGTAACGATTATTTTTTTATAGTTAAAAATGATCATAAATGTAATGATTAAATGTTATAAATTCCAATTGCGTTAAAACTGATTGAATAATCACACTTATTTTAGATTGTTTTCGATTTAAACTCCCTAATTATTGTTATTATTTGCGTAATAATAAGTATAGTGTTACTTTATACTAACAAAGCAGAATTATGATTAGATCTAATCATAATTTGGTTGTACTTGTCAAACGTTTGATTAAGACAACATATATGTATCTATCAGAATTATCTCTCAAACTACCAAAAATCACTTGTTAAATGGTTATAACCATTTATAACCAAAAGTGAGCAATCGTAAAAATAAATATAATTATTTTAGTCTTGAAAAATGTCCTGCTGACATCACCGAATCGCACCACGCCGCAGGGTTGTGATTGTTGAGCGTTAGCAGTGGTGAGGCGGTTGATTTGTGAATAACGGAATAGGGACTAATGGACGAGGTTATGCCCTAAGGACAGTTACTTGAGTTTAGCAAACGTCAAACGCTGTCCACGCTAGTAAACCGCTCGCCTAGCTCATCACATACGTGTTGGCCAGATGATGGCGTTGGACTTAACGACCTTAGCGATGGTGGTCGAGGTTCATGCTGTTGATGTAGATGTCTTCGGTGTCTATTGTATCCACCACCGTCGACTCCTCCACCGACTCCTCGTCGAAATCTTTCTCGACGACTACCTCTAGATCTTCGCCGGCAGCATAGGCAACCAATTAACATGAGTGCCAATACTGCGCACATTGTCAAAGCTGCCGAAAAAATTACGTTATCCAGCGCTTCCGGTTCCACCACACCTATGATTTGTAAATGATGACATTTTAAAAATATATACGGAAAACTTTCAAAGTATCTTTCAAAAAAATCTTGCAATAGAATAAATGAATATCAAAACGGTGCCATAGTAAGAAAATAATATAATAGAGACAAACACTAAAATTGCTCGTATGGAGGCCTAGAATACAAGAAATATAACAGTCAAGTGCATATTTAAAAAAAAAAGTTTTGATATGAAGAGGAAATTGTAAGTATTAGATTCTAGTTTTCTTTTTTTTAAGTCTTTGCATTCAAATAGAGAAAATTATAAAAAAAATTTATTCATATTTTAAAATGTTGAAAACGAATTTATTAGATTTAACTTAAATAAGTACCGCTCAGCTAATGATAAATTTTGCAAAGAATTTTTTTTATTTTAATTTATTACCATGTTTAAATCAAATGTAAGTTGTTGCAGTCTGATAAAATATATAATGTGAAGTTAGCTTAACCCAATAATGACACTTCATAAGTGCATCGCTAGATAAAATACTTTTGAATTAAGCCAATATAATATTTGCATTTGACATAAATATTATTAGTATGTCTCAAAATAATGACTAATAATACCAAATGTTCAATCTTAATAAATATATATAAATCAATATTCAAGTTTTTTACTTTTTATCTAGACTCAGTAGCAGTTAAATGGGAGGAAATTCGGGGGATTGATACCCAATTTGATATTTTGTATAATTATAATTATATATATTTTAGAAACTTTATATATTCAATTGAAATGTTATTAGACATAATTAACATAAAAAAATTATTAATCCTACAAATTTGGAACAGTAAAAGTCTTGGCTACTTTTTGTACTAAGGTAAATTCAAAGTAGTACTATTAGAAAATAAATTAAATATTTGAGATAGGCTTAATTAAAAGAAATCTATTTATGCACATCAATAGCTAATAATAACATCTTGATATGATAATAAAAATAAAAAAAGTCCTATGATATGGGAGCACAACTCTCATATGCTTTTTAGCATAAAGGTTTTTCATCCCCTCCCATCAAAATCATTTGTGCCCTAATGTCTAAACAATACTTACAATTGCTCTCGTCTGATAAGTCGTTCGAGCCACAATTTTGTACGTTGTTGCACCGAAGTTGGTTCGATATGCAATAGCTCGAGTTTTCGCATTGAAACCCCGGACAAGGTCCTTTTGATTCTAACACCTCAGTCCAAGTTACACTAAAGCCAGTACCGTTTCCCGATTTATCAGCTACTACAAAACTAAATTAAAGAATAACCATTATGTAATTGAATCCTCTTATCCAAACAAATAATTGTTATAAAAATGATTAGTTTTAAAAATAATAAACCAAAGCATTTTATCGCATTCGTTCATACCTTATCCTGAGTTGATTAGAGTCTGATAAAAATTGCCAAGGGTCTACAGGTTTTTCACCACATAACTCTAAAGGTGGCTCTCCCATGGTTAGCCATAGTCTTAAAACAGCTGACGCACAGCCTCTAGCTGTAACATATTACAACAATTAATGTTTAAGGTAATATTTAATCTAATATAAACAGTGAATTAAGGATTATTTAACAATAGGTACAATAATATTTTCAAAAACCTGACGTACATTTTTTTTCAATATTTATTTATTATCTTATGTGATCTAGAAATCTTGTCTATCTATACAATATGTATATTAACCATGTTAATATTCAATGTCATACATAATACTAAATTTTAATTACACGTTCACTTACTTAAAGGATCTCCTTCTACTGAGAACGATATGAAATTGAGCAGTATTTTGTAATTGGGCCTGACGTTTATGAACCAATTGCACGTTCTGCTCGGCATTCCTTTTTCTGGTGCAGTATACTTGAGCGGGAAATTCGGACTCTGCACCTTTCCGGAATCTGCATTGCTAATATTACTGCCGCAGTCTAAAAAATATTACGGCGTGATCACATTGAAAGAAATGAAGTTTACAGAAAATGCTGAACTTACCACCGAATATTGGTTTAACAACGTCGAAAAAATATCTAGCTTTAAAACCACTTGAAACACCTTCTGAATTTGTATGTAGCACTACCTTTAAGCCAAGTGCACCACGATTAGATTCTAATGGTCCAGGTGCTATTTTACCACAATATCTGCCTATAAGTTTTTCTGTATTGTCATTATAAATATTGTATATTTCTAGCCAGTCGTCCGTGCAGACAGATACACTAATAAATAAGTTTTACTTAGATTATTTATGTTATTTTTATAGAAATATAATATTAAAAAAAGGATTATACCCAAATGGAACAAATGAGACATTGGTTTTATCAGCTCTAATGCTAAACTGGTCAAAGATTAAGGTAACCTGCTCATTAGGCGTGGGTAAAAAGAGAAATGTACAATTTAATCCATTGGGATAGTTGGCCGGATGTCTGGGTGAATTGAAATCTCCTCTTTTTTTGGATGCACTACGATAACTAAAATGGCATGTGCCATTCGGTGCTGCCGTCCCAGGTACAAGATATTCTAAAATTATTGATGAATTATATTATTATTAGTATAAAAGTAAACTAATTATTGTTTAAAATTGAAATGTTGAATGTTATATGAAAATTACTCACCAGTTTCAAAAGTATACTTGGCTTTAAATCCTCGTCCTTGTTGTTCACCACTACTAAAGACCATTGCGAGTCTAGCCCCTTCACTCATTAAGACTTTTTCATCACTTTCTTCGCCACACATTTCATAATCGAACTTATCGTAAAGATCCATTGCTTCTTGACCTTTTAGATAGACTTTTAAATAACCATCAGTGCAACTAAAAAATAAAGAATAAAACATAAACATTGGGTAAATTGTTAAAAGAAATATGATATACTCTTGTTCGCTTCTTCGTGGTTTCGGAATATCGAAAATAAAGAATTCCAGTCTAACCCTCTCCAAATTTTGCGCACCTTCGAAACCATAAATAAAATACCGACACACAATTTTTGGTATATAAGGAAACGGAAAGTTTGGACTATATATAAAACCAGAAGAAGTCTTTTTACTCAAAACTTTTTGATCACACTCGGTTCCTCGAACATGTTCACCATCGTTTTTACCAATGAAATCTATAAAATTAGGATCATTTGGTTATATTAAAAACAAATTCCTCAATAGTTTTTCAAATTTATTTACCTAGTTTAACGAAACTTTCACTAAACTCAAACATCCCTTTAAAACCACGATTTTGCGTATTGGTAGCTCTTTGAAGTGTATCAAAAGTTACATACAAATCTTTATAAGTAGAATAAATGACTAAATTTCGTTGCTGACCGCAATATTGGCCAATTAATGGACTACTTGAATTCGAACCATCATAAATACTAACAATGTCAAAAGGGCAGCTGTAAGATGATTTAAATTTATTAAATTTTATAATAAACAAACAATTTTCAAGCAAATCACTTACTGAGGTCCTCCATAAAAAAGATCAAAATCACGAAATTCTAACCGTACCCTTTGACTGGGTTGTCCAAGAAATAAGTACGTACATTTCATACCCTTAGGATATATTCCAGGGTATGTTGGAGTGAGTACGGAACCTTGCTTTTTAATTTTGGAGTGTACTACAAATGAGCATGGACTGATTGGTGATGGAGTTCCTAGCTGAAATGAAGCTGTGGAAAAAAATGAAATCATAAAATGTCTGTAAATATAATAAAATTTCCACTTACAGTCATTTTGGAAGGAATATTGACCCTCAAATAGCGTTGGTGTAGTAGAATTTTTATCTGTATAGAAACTAATTGCTACGGTTCTGTACAAAGATATTCTATCTCTAGGTGGTATTAAACCACAATATCGGCCGCCAAAAGGCGAGTTGATTAAGTCCTCTGTATCGACTTGCTGTAATTCTGAGTATACATCCACGTACTCGTGCATGCATCTAGAAAAAGATTTACACAAAGTTATCAACAGTTATATGTTAGTATAAAAATTGACATCTAATTAATGAGTGAAACGACAAAAGAGAAGATAACGTTTGTATATAACTTTACACAATCATATACATTCTTATAATACTTTATTTACTTGTTTTACTTACTCCGGAGGTGTACTACGAAGTTGAAACGAGGTGAACGAAACATAAGCTTTTTGATGTGAAGCGGCCACAAATGTGTATACACATACTTTGGACTCACCTTCGGAGTTTATAATTTCAGGAGCCCTAAATGTGCCATTTTGTGGACTACTATGGCTTACAAATGTTAGGTCACAACCTACAATATAAAGATAAATTTCTAAATTCTCGAAAAAAATGTAATTCTAAAGAATTAAATATGTTAACCTGATAATGCTTTCTGATAGCTGGTTCGTATCGACGATAGCAATAACAAGGACACCAGAAGTCTCCTACGGGCATGCCAATAGTCTTGGGCCATGTTATGTCCTTTGAAAATACATTAATAAATATATTATTGATTTATATGTATTAACTGTATTATTTACAAAATTAAATTTATGAAATAGCATTAAGAATAATGGAAGACACCACTTATAATGGCTTACCATAGCGGCAGGGCAGTATGGTTTCGGCGGTGACTTCAAATTGTCATTCGAAAATTATGAATTGAAAATTCTAACCTAAACAAAATTTAATAATTTTTAATAAAAAAAATTAAATGTTTTAGGATATTAATGTGAGTTATCTAAGCCTTACCAAGAAAATATTGGTTGTTTTATCAAATAAGAGTTATGTTGTGTATAAATTGAAAATTTTATTTAAACACTTACGCGAGTCAGTCGATCGATGGCCTACTAATAGTATCGTAAATATACAGAGCTGATACTTCTTCACATTTGGGAACTACTACCGTTGTTGCGTTCTATGATAACCATAATGCAATGGTGAATAGCACTTACAATCATTCAGTGCAAATGGTTACACTTGACGCAATACGTAAAAATGCGGGTTTTCGTTTTGAGCAATATCGGAGAGCGCGCCAATCCGTATCGACCGATTACACAGCGCACACAAACGTATCTGCGGAAAATAATAGCGCTACGTCGACTATTCTACAAATAAAACGAGATCGGTGTAAAATTCTAACTTAATGAACTTGCTGGATGTTGAATACATAGATTTTCGTTTATATACAATCCTTTATAGATCCAGTAACGATCGCGCGACCACCGCTCGAGCTGAAAATCCGGCGACAGTAGCTTCACACACACACACATATAACCACGGTAGAACACACTCGCTCGTCCATGTTAGTGAATAAGTGAGGTGGGTATAGAGTGCAGTGTTCCTCGGGGGTGGGGCTGTTGTCGTGACCGAGCTTGCGCGGCCTGAGCGACAGATCGAATTCACTCCAGCGATGGTGCCCACGCCCGAATCGGTCAACAAACCCCGTACGAACGGCGGCGTATTCACTAGCAATCACTCTTTTACCATCACCCAGCGTTACATCAGTCGCCGTGCAATCCTTTGACTACCCCATTACAAATACCTTTCTTATCATTTAGAGACCTTGGTCTTTGAAAAGGACACTCTCTAATCTAATCTTTTTATTAAATAACCTAGAAGTTGTTAGGAAAAACACTCATATTATTGTTTAAAAATAATTCTCAATGTTAACAGCTTCTATCAAATTTAGCGATAACAACTCATAAGTTTCTTGTCAATAAAATTAATATTATGATAACGAACTACAATAAGGCTTACTTATTTATCTAAAAGTTATAATCATAATTATTATAAATATTGACATGTAAAATCATTCATGTTACCAAAATCCATTAAGTTATTTGAATGTTAATGTTATCAAAATCAATCGTTTAAATATTATAAAGGTATAAATAGTGCTGAATCCAAGTATACTTTAGGGGGTCTGGAGCCTTTCGTGGAATTTTTATAGCCTCTCAGAAATTCTCAGAGTAAGAACGATAATATAACTATTTTTAAAAATTGACTCTATGTTATATTGAATATTGAATTAAAGCCATTTTTTTCTTTAATCATCATTTTTTTTTTTTTCGTAATTTTAAGAAAACCCAGCACAGGGGGGTCGCGGCACAGTGGTGCTGTGGTATAGTTGGATCAAGTATAATGATATCTGACAGTGATTAAAATCACTAAAAAAATAAACGCTTCGATGCAAATCTTTAGATTGTGTTTAATTAAAAAAAAATTGGTGTATTATTCCAAAAGCTACATGATCTGCTAGTTCCTTATTAATATCATGATTAAGATAAACTATGTCGAATGAAAAAGGGATTATTAAAAAATATTATTTCTCATAAAAAAATTGTGTTGATCCATACACTTTTCAATTTTTTTTTTTCAAATTAAAGAATATTACATAAGCTTTAATTTAAGATATATATAAAAGTGTCAGACCTTCCGGAACACTTTCAAAAGTTAAGTTGAAAAAGTTCTACTTTATATATGCATTTTTTATATTTTAAGCCCCCCCCCCCATATATAGGAAAATGGTCTGATTTAAAAAAAAAGTATGTCCAATGAAATATGTATATAAATACTACTTCTCATGAAAAAATTGTATTGATCCATACATTTTTTAAAAAGTTATAGCACTTTAAAGTAAAAAATGTAAATTATAAAATCGAAAATTTTCACACAAAAATAGCATTCGGTAGCCGTTTTCACCATGAAGACAAGTCCAGAGGTCAAATTTTTTTTTTTCAAATTAAAGTATATTACATTAGCTTTAATTTAAGATATATATAAAAGTGTCAGACCTTCCGGAACACTTTCAAAAGTTAAGTTGAAAAAGTTCTACTTTCTATATGCATTTTTTATATTTGAAGCCCCCCCATATATAGGGAAATAGTCTGATTTAAAAAAAAAGTATATCCAATGAAAGATGTATATAAATACTACTTCTCATGAAAAAATTGTATTGATCCATACATTTTTTAAAAAGTTATAGAACTTTAAAGTAAAAAATGTAAATTATAAAATCGAGAATTTTCACACAAAAATAGCTTTCGGTAGCCATTTTCACCATGAAGACAAGTCCAGAGGTCAAATTTTTTTTTTTCAAATTAAAGTATATTAAGTATATTAGCTTTAATTTAAGATATATATAAAAGTGTCAGACCTTCCGGAACATTTTCAAAAGTTAAGTTGAAAAAGTTGTCTTTTTGTGAAAAAGTTGTCATTTTAAATCCNTTAAATCCCCCCCTGTGGGCAGATACAGGGTCAGTTTACAAAAAAAATATACCAAATGATAAGTAAAGACATCAAGCATCTATATAAAAAAAAACTATATTGATATGTTCATTTTTGAAAAAGTTACGGCAGTTTTTAGTAAAAAAAAATTTCGAAAATTAGCGATTTTTAAATTTGTAATTTTTTTGGAGGTTTCACCCATTTACGGGGAACGAGGGAATTTTTTTCAATTTTGAAGGGTAATGTCTTCGACTAGATACAATTTGTGATCTTTTGACGTATCGTTGAAAGAAATCCGTTCGGTGAGAGCTGAGAAAAAGTGGTAACAGACACAAAAAAAAAAAAAAAAAAAACACATAGTAAAACCAATACCTTCTAAGCTTCGCATCGAAGCTAAAATATGACAGCAAACTTTTTTTTTTGCTTGTATCGATGCTTAGAGCCCCTCTTAGAAAAAAATCTGAATTCAATACTGGGTATAAATGATATGGTATAACGGTAACATAAAAGTAGTAGAAAGATGAAGATAGTACAACCGCTAGTCATCAATTAAAAGATAAAAATAAATTCTTACTATAAGAAATATCTAAAATACTACTGAATTATTTTTGAAGTATTCGTATTTTTGTTGGTTATTTAAATGTTTTAATATTTTATTTTTTTACAATTTATTTATTTTTGTTATATAACATTAGTATTTAAATGATTGTAATACTTCTAAAAAACAAAATAATAAAAAACTAACCATTTCTAATAAAAAAAATTTTCTAAAGACTCTTTTGATTTTTCTTTTTTTCATTACTTAATTGGATAGTTAGGTGCACTTTTTGTGATAAAAATAAAATTCAATAATTTTTAATTAGAATAATCCCTATTAAATACTGCATTTCCAATTTATTTGTTTTTCATATAACAATATTATTACTACAGCTATATAACATAATAACTAACCTCATTTTTCATAAAAATGTCATTTATAGATAAGGCCATATAAAAAGGCGAAGTTAAGCTTCTACGATTTTTTGACTTCTGTGAATGGATTTCTGTAAATCTGAAATTTAAATAAGAACTGCTTCAATATTTAGCCTAACACTAAACATTTTTATCATTGTCTCTTTCATTTTTTAAAGGGCAGAATATGAGTTTTCTTGAAAATTGTCATTTTTTCCTATTCGTCATTTTATACCATTTTACCTTACTCTTGGGTCAAGGCCGAACATAAAGGGTGTATCTTCGCCCAAAGCTCCACGATTATTTTTTGTTTGGGACACAAATCAAAAAAATTATGAGGAATAACAAGATAATTTTGTTATAAGTTAATTAAGATTTGTAAAGTTATATGTTTATGTTATTAAGTTTTATGGTACCTTTATCATTTTTCCATGTTCCTGCAAATCATAATGCCGGCACTACCTGTGGTATTTTAAGTGTTTCATTTAATATAAGCCTTAAATAAGCGTACAATCATTACTTGTCATCTGTTAATAATTAGTTGAAATTTAAAGACATTTTATCGGTTTCATCATACAATAGAATTTTATTTTATATATATATATATATATATATCATTAAAATTGTTATTAACTTCAATAATTGACAAAAAATTGATGAGTTATACATCGTTCTATTTCTCGAACTTAACATGTAATAAAGGATGGTAGTGTCCTTCTTTCATATGTTTAAGAGTCAAAGATCTTGACTAGACTAATAATTGAAGGGACAGGTAGGGTTTGCACCAGATAATAGACACCAGCAATGAGAAAACTACAAGAAAAATCTTGTTAGCACCCTGGGGATCGAACCCGGGACCCCTACGCCGAAACATACGTTTCTACCCATTAAGCCACTAAAACAGAATTCTCCTGTGATTTCAATATTTTTTTTTAAATAAGACCTATAATTATTCTAGAGCTGTAGTGGGCGTGGCATTTGGTTTACTAACAGTATGACCAACTTATCGATATGTTGATGTTTACTACAATATAACCGCCGTTCTCGGTCATTGTTCAATGATTCTGTAAACAGAAGACTTACAAATAACAGTTTTGAACAAAGAAATCTAATAATTAATAAAAAAGGAATTAAATAATTGATAATTAAAAAAATCGATTGTCCATACTTACATACGAGATAACTACGACGTATTATAATAACATTTATTTTTATAAAGTAATAAAATAATAAAATATAAACGTATATATAAGTATAAATATATAAAGAAAGTGTAGTTTATTTAATTAATATTTTTCGATGTATATATTTGTAAGTAAAAATGCAACTTAAAATAATTTATAATTTAAACATATTTTCAAAGTAATTTTAATGAGTCGTTCAATGTCCTTGAAAATTGTTATCAGTAAAAAAACATTAGTGTATACACTGAATATGTGACTGTTTTGATTTGGATATCGTTTCATAGTTTCATAGGTGGATGTTATCACTTAATTGTTTCATTGATTCATCACACCACGATATTTTTCTTTGTCGGCTAAAATATTTATTTATTTAATTATAAACTCCAATGTATTATCATGTGATATTACATTCTGAATGTAAAAAATTATTCTTGTAATGTTGTAATTTAAATTCTTAAAATGAGCGCCATTACTTGTCGTATATGTGGTCGTGTTTTCGACGATCCATCAGACGTTATTCACATTTTTAGTGCTGCTGGAAAGAAAGATAATGTTGCCGCCAAAATACTATACACATTGACTATCATGGTAAGAAATGAACTAGATTTTTTATATTAAACTTTTTATCGAAATGTTTGTCCAGAGATATGTATATTTTTCTATAAACATGAAAATTATAAATGAAGAGTGAATGTGTCAAACGTTCTATGTGTCAAAAAAGTGAAAAATTGTTTTATTTCTGATTTAAGTTCTATGTGCCAAAGGCCACAATCTTGTATGTGTTTAAAAAGTCAATTAAATTTTTTACTTGTACAAAATTGCATTCATAGATGGTGTTCGTTGTGTGAGACATGCCCATGTTACCATTGTTTTTTGTGTTTTCTGAACAAATATGTTTTTGGCACATAGAACGTTTGACACATTCACTCTTCAAATAGTTATAACAATAAAATTTAACTTCTGTATTTAAATAAAAAATTTACTTACTAAACTCATATTGATAATTTAAAGAATAACGTTACTTTTAAAGTACAGTTACTTTAAGTGTTCAATGAACACCTATAAAACTGGGTTTCAATGCATATACAGTGAAACCTCCTTTCAACTTTCCTCTATTAAAAAAAAGCTTCTTTTAAACGTTAAAAACTCTATAGCCCTGTCCTTTTTAAAATTAACCTATATTAGACAAAAAACTCTCTTAATAGAAAAAAAATATGTTCCATGTTTTCATCGAAAGGAGATTTTACTATATATAAAATGAATAATTGTAATTATATAACTTAAAAAGAAAAGTGGTTATGGGATATTATTTATAGCAGTTGACTAGAGTTAATTAATTAATTTTAGAAATGGAGTACAATGTATAGGCCACCTAAATATGTTCACAGTATAAATAGTCATATTTGGGTTCAGCGATGAAAAAATATATTGAAACTACTCTTTATTTTTTCGATAAAATATTTTGTCAAAATTCAATATTAAATTATATCATTGTTTTTATAATATTTGTTGGATTGGACTGATGTTTTTAAAACTCTGCAAATAGTTTGAAATGTATCTATGTAGACATTTCTTTAAATTCTTCCCAAATTGTTTTGATGTTAGTTAAATATTAAAAAAAAAACAATTAAATATGTTAAAATCTTATTAAATGAAAAAAATTAGTTAGGAATTAAAAATCAAATTAAGATTTCACACTATTAAAATAAGAATTTTGCCACTAAGGCAAATAAGGTTCCTGTGTGATTTCATTCATGATCTATAAGCCCCTTATGTAGATGTTAATAGATTATAGTTAAACTAGAATCTACTAATCTATTACTTAAACTATTAAACAGTTTTTTTGCTTACTATTATTTTTGATTAAATATTTTTCAATTATTACTATTGAAAAATTGATAGTTGTAGCTTTTCACCCTTATATTTCATGAAGCCTATATATTAAGGTAAGGTGTGGCTAAGTCTGTAATATGGCACTGCTTGATGCACATTGCCTCTGATTCATAACTCGGTTACGGGGCTTTATTTGTTAAACAAGAAATTAGTCCAGTTATTGGAGTTACCATCCCTTTCTTCAGCAACGGATTAACCACCTATTTGAAAATTTCAAAGATTAAGAAAACGTTTCCCTTTGGGAAAAAACAAAAAAATAATAATAATTGAGGAAAGTGTAGCATTTTTACTGATTAGAAACAACTTTTTAGGAATCAAATTAACTCCAAGTAACTATACAGATTGTGAATAATAGGGCATAAATAATAAATATTAACTTTTCAGCAGAAATAAAACTATTATTATTTAAAATTGCACACGCATTTTGCAATTTGAACGACAAATGTATAAAAACAAAATTTCTCTGTGAAGTGTGTCTCTCAAAATATGTTATAAAATAAAAAATTTTAAATAGACTTACGCTCTTTTACCTGTGCACCATTCATTGTAAACTTAAAAATCATAATTTCAAAGAACATTATGTTAGTGAAGTAAAGAAATTTTCTTAGTAAATTATTATGAGAAAAACATTTTCCTCAAACAAATATTCTAACTGCAATATTTTTTAATTTTACTTTAAATATTGAGAAAATAAAAATTTGAAATAAATTTTTGAAATGAGAGCCTAAAAATATATTTTAACCTTAATGATATGCTGTGTCATTTTCATTTTAGAAATATTTAATTTAAGGAATTCTTCAATAAATAATAAACAAAAACATGTTTATCAAAATTAATTTGTGTATTGTTAAATTTTTATACACTTGTTGATTTTTAAGCTATTTTTTAATTATTTAAATTTTTTTTTAAATTGAAATTTTTAATTATATTGCAGATAACGGAGGAAGACCCTACTTCAAAACACATCTGTAAAATGTGCTATGGCCATATTGATTTTTTCACAAGATTTTCTAATACTTCTAGGGTTTATAACAATATTTTGATGAATAATTATCTTAAAGAACCTTCAAATGTTACTTATAGATATGAGATGGCTAGATTTCTTAGCACACCTGTTGAGCTACTTGTATGTTATGTATTTATTTTCCTTAATTTTAATATTATTTTGACTAATATATAACTAAAATATTTATAATAAATAAAACCAGAAACATAATTGCTTATTAATAACTATATTTTTATTTAATTTCTACAATTATTATTATCTATCAAGTCGTGTATATTGTCCTAGAAATAATGGATTTAACATGTTACTGATTATGAAAATATTTCACATAGTAAAAATATTATAAGATTTGTTTCATTTGTTATGTTATAAATTATTTATATTTATTTTACAGTGTTATAAACAAAATTCTGATATAAGAAGTATACATGAATCATTTGTTAATTATATGAAATCACCAGTCCTTAATGAGATAAATGTTTCACAACTTAAAGAACCTATTTCTCAAAAGTAAAGTCATTTTATTTATGATGTGGCCAAGTTCTAACTGTCTTAAAAATTCATAATTTTAGTTTAAATGAAAGTGCAAGTGTCAATCAACCAAATACATCTAACAAGTCTGATCATTTTCTTCAAACTAGTAACCAAAATGAAAAAGAAAACAATAACACTTGTATGAATAATATCCAACCAAACCAATCAGTGTCTAATATTTTAATTCAACCCAGTAATGTTATTAATCAAAGTTCAGTTCGTTGTAATAGACAGACAAATGTTTCAAAGCCTCATAGTTCAAATGATTTTATTCAACCTAAAATGTAAGCATTATAAATTATGCAAATAAAAGTTTTTAATCTATAATTTAAATTACTCAGTATTGATGAAGTTATATGCTTGGATGACGATGATGGTGATGCTGAAGATGATGACGTGCAAGTAATTGAAAATACAACTAATGTATTGTCAAACAATACACATAAAAAAAGAAAATCTAAGGTTATGTTAAAAAATAAATCCTTTTTTCCAAAAAATAATGTAATAAATAACACTCATGCAATTGCTTTAAAACATTTAATGCAATTTAAAAGGTAATATTTCATGAATAAAATTTTCTGAAAAAATTTATAAGTTAATAAATCTTAAATTAAAAATATTTTTATTTATTTAGAAGGTTAGAAAATGCTAGTAAAAATACTTTTCAATCAGAAAAAAATATTACACCATTGTTAACTGGAAATCAACAAAGTCCTATTTCAGAACAAATGGTTATAACTCCTGATATCAATTTACCTACTGTTGTCAATACCTCTTCTTGTGATTCACCAAACAATGACTTCTACTCAGATCAAGTTAATGACAATAATTCTACTGAATCTACTGTTTCACCAGAAACTGGATTTCATTTTTTATTCAGATCTGATCAAACTGTAGATTTAACTAATTCAGAAATTGCACCCAAAAAGTAAGCTAATAATAATGTAAAGTTGTTACTGATACAGCCTTTATGCTCATTTTTGTTAGTGTATACAATTAGTGTTACTTTAATTTTACAGACTGATTCTTTTAAATCAGCCACTCATTTTTTCTAGAAATAATAATTATTTTTAGTATTTTTCAGTTTCATATATTTCTTGATTTAATAGTTATTAATTACTTTATGATTCATCTCTTATATCTTATAATAGTATCAACTTTATTTTTTTTTTTTTAAGGCAAAATACATAATTTGTGTTTATGGCTAGTTAAATATTATAACTGGCTTATAAAATAAAAATTGATTTTACTAAGAAAATGACTAATTTATGATAACTTTTGACCAAAATAATCAGTCAAATACTATTTTAAAATATAGACTAGGTAGGTATGATAAAATTAAATATAATATGGTGAAAAAAATATAAATATTTATTAATAAAATAGAAATTACGTTGAAAAAATAAGACTTGTTATAATTCTGAATGGTTAATAATATCTGTTTTTTCCTTTCTCGTACAAATTAAGTTTTTGTGTCTCGTGTATGTGCTTTATTTAACATTAGGCATTTAAAATCTGCACCCACCTAAATACAAAAATGTAAATAACTTTTAAAGTATTGATTTAAAAAGTTATTTTTGACCAGTCATTTTTTATTTTATAAGCTAGTTGTCTAAAAAAAAAATAAAGTTGATACTATTATTAGGTATAATGATAAAATAATTAATAACTTAAATCGAGAAGTATATGCAACTAAAAAATTCAAAGATAGTTTTCTTAACATAATTATTATTTTAAGAGGTATCGAGTAACTAGTGTTAAAAGAATCAATATGTATATAACTAAAAGAATATTATCTATAGCTTTACAAAAACATAAAAAAACTAACATTCAATTATCATACATTTTTTTTAGTAAAAGCCAAAAAGAAAAATTAAAAAATCAAGGCAAAGTTATTAAGTAACAATTAATCATTATATAATTTTATTTTTTGATTTGCCTCTTAAACAATTTATTTTATTTTTTAATAGAAAATTTCAAATGCCTATGGTTTCTATTCAAAAACCCGCAACTAAACTACCTCCACCAGTTGTTACTAAAAATATTTCAAAGTAAGTAACTAAATAAAATATAATTAAAAAACTAATCATTAAAAATTCATCTGTTTATTCAACAAAAAAATTTGTTTGACTGTATTATACTAAATTTGTGATTTTACTTGGGTTTTTTTCCAGTGCAGTAACACAATTTGGTAGTAAAAAAATAATGTTTCATATTTTTATTTTTCAAAACTTACATTAAGTAATGCCCAACCTTTAAAAAAAAAATTTAATTGCCTTATGCTAAACATTTAGATTGTGAATACTTTAAAGTATTTAAAAACTTATAAAAATATATTTCAATATATAATTTCATTACATTTTCTCTATAGTATTCAAATATGTATTCGAAATAATAATTTTGAGTACACTTCACATGTATGTAAAAGGTTTAGATAAGTAATTTTTAATTTTCTCTTATGATAACTTAAACAAATCAATCAATAAATGTCTAAATAATTTTTTTTTTTCAGGACTTCTATTGTTAATGTATCTAGATCTAAAAGAATACAAACAACATCTACAACGTCTGAATCTAAAAAGTAATATTTTTTAGTTTTAAATTAATATTAATAATATAATTTAAATTTAAAATTTAATATATCTAAAAAGTAAATTACAATTTCTTTGGCAATTGGACCATTTTATTTCATACAACTTTTTTCAGAATTAAAAAACCTACAGAACCCAATAATACTACCAATCAGTTAACAGCATGTGTTTCACTTATTAAACTTGAGCTTCCTTTATATCAATGTCCTATTTGTGAAAAGTACTTTAGTTCCACTAAAAGTCGACAATTACATGAAAGTAAGAGCCACGTCTTACCACCTATTGTACCCGAGAAGTCTGATAAATTAGACTTAACTTCTTGTGACAATTCGTCGTCTACTAGTCAACAAGAATTTCTCACTCATCTCAACCTAGTAAAACGTGTATCAACAAATTTACCAGAACATTTTGCAAATCGTAAACATTTGCAAAACGCTCTAAAAATTTATGGTAATATTCAAGGCAAATATAAATGTCACTATTGCAAGTATGAAAATTAATTTATTATTTAATTAATTAATTAATTAAAAAATTAAAATTTGTTATTAATTATACAGGTATAAAACATCACGTTTGTATACATTATGGGCTCACATGTGTGTTAATCATATTCAATTTAATACAGATATGAGGTCAAACTCTTTTTGTTTTGTTTGTAATCGAACATTTGGCAAACGATTAAAATTATTAAAGCATTTAGATAGATGTGTGGAAAGTCATCTGGAAATAGAATCTTCAAATAATCCATGTGATGAAATGCTAGCATGTGATTATAGTGATTCTGAAATAAACTCGCTACCAGAACTTGAAGAAAAATTATGGTCTTTAGTAAATGTATAAATGAAAGTGCTAGTATTTTATATTTTTACACTTGGTTTTTGATTGATTGCGTTTAAAATATGTTATTTGTTATCTTTGTTTGTAAGAAAGTACAAGTGTTATTTTTTTATTTGAAATAACTTATTTTTTGTGCTCCATGACTATAAACTATTACTGAACATTGAACTCATTTAAGTTTAAACTGTTGAACTATTAAACAGAGATTTTGTGTATTGGTATTTGATTAAAATGTTACTGAACTAAAACTATGAAAATTAAAAGTAAGAAAACACAAGTCTATGTTAACTCTTTATAATTTTAATGTAAATTATATGTCACTAAACATTGTTCATTTGCTTTTATATTATTAAAGATAATTTTGTTATTCTGACATATTTACACTTTGTTTATTTCATTATATTAACCATTTTTCATTGTAAAAACTTCTAATTAATATTATGTTAATTTTAATTAGGGTTCATCCTTACTAAGGCTGTGACAAACTTAAAAAAAAAAAGAATACTATCGATAGGTTCATCTGACTGAACTTTAAATTATTACTTAATAATGCTATTTATATAATAAATATTCACAAAACTTTAAAATTTGTTTTTATTTATCTATTTTCATTCTAGTCACTTAATACTATTAACTTAAAGTTGTTTTTATAGGTCCATTAATTTACTGTAAACCAAACATTTGTTTAAAGTATTTTTGTGAAAAGGTTGGTACCCCCCTTAGAAGGAATATAGGATAAGATAGTAAAATAGGATATAGAGTGAGATCAGATAAATATTTAATCAGTTATAAATTGAGAAATAAGTCATAAAAAGTTATAGTTCAGAAATGTACAATAACTTTGTTGAATCTACAAAGCAAGATTAAATAAATAATTAAAATTTATTATTTTTTTAATATAGGTGAAATTTAAAAATAAGTGATACATCAATTCCTCTGTATAATATATTTTTACAATTTTTGACAGTTTATCTATCTCGTATATACGTACTCGGTTATTAACTCCTTAAACCCCTATAAAATGTTGGAAGGGATTTATTTTTTAGTATTTTCAAAGTGTGTAGAGACTATCAAAACTTAGTGATGGTGATATTCTTGCCTTGCCTAACAATTACGGCTAGGGGAAAAGATCAACATGTTCATCTTGAGGTAAGTGATAATAGCTTTATTTAAAAACAATATATAGCTAATAATTATGATAAATGTAAAAATGTATGTACAATATATATTTGAATATAACTTATTTAGTTTATGTACATAATAATTTAAAAAATAATTAAACGTACAATATAAGAACAATGAATAGGTAACTAACTTTTAAACATTTTTTTTAACTATTAAAGTGTAGTTTAAAAAAAATTAAATTATAACAAGTTAAATAAAAAGTAGTTAAAATATTATTATAAAAAAAGTATAAGTTTCCTACGGGTTGTTAATAAGTGAATGAACGCATATCGATTAGACGTTTTCATCTTTAAAAGCTAAAAATATAAAAAGTATTTAAATTTTAACTTGAAAAATGATTATTAATGATTTATAATTGCAAATAATATTGTTGAAGCTGTATTAAGTTGTAGCACAGGTTAAATCGCTACATATATTTATTTTTGTCACTTTAGACTTACTATAATTTTAACGAGAATGAGTCGACAATTATTTAATGAAAACTATATTATTACTAGTTTTATTATTAATTAAAATCCTAAAAAATAATAAAAATGAATTTTTAATAAAAAAAAGAACAAGATATATGAACAGCGAAATCGTTCGAAGATAATGTGAATATTATTTGTTTTTCTATTTTTCTCCTATGCATACAATATTATTATTTACATTGTCAGTGACCACATATCTTTGATATATTGTAATAAAATCAAGTATGCAAGCCTATATTTTCTTTTGGATTTTACGTTTGAAATTTATCCGTGTACAAAACGACCGGAGGGAAGTTTATTAGTCTGTTGAATTCCAAGGAGAAGACGATTCGCCATTATTACTTTAAGAATGTATTATAAAAAAATAATATCATTCTTTGATAATCCGGTTTCAAGTTTAGAACATTATTTTTAGTCTATTTTACAATTGCATAGCACTTCCCAACTCGCCGCGTGAACATTTTTTTATTTTATTTTTGGGCTCCATAATTAATATTGTTACACAATAACTAATGTAGAGCAATAATATTTCACAAATTATTTTTTTAAATAACAGCCAAGTTGCAATTGATGCGTTAATTGAGCTTTTTTTGCCTGTCCGAGTCGTGTCCTATTCTTTACTGCTTTACAGTTGATAAATGTTAAGGTGCGATTTGTGTTACGCAAACGACTTGTACTCGTAACCGCCACCGGCAAACAGACGTCAAATGGATGCCCTATAGGGATTCATCAAATATTGGTCGTGATTCTCTTGGTGACTGCCAACTACATTGGGAGGACTACACGCGTCGTAGAATGTCTCCAATGGTATGTGCTGGACAGCAGTGTCACCGACGCTAATGGCTGAATTGGGCAGGTACGGGGAACCGGGCCGGTAACCACTACTGGATGCCCATCGGTCACAACTGCAACTGCAAACCGAAGTGTTATCGTCCGGTGATATGGAACCTTTTCCGGTGGTCATCGTGACCGCCGCTATGCTGCCTATTGGCAAACTGGACACCGAACCGTGAGCAGTGATCACGTCTCCTTCCAACCTTACTGCTACTTGAGCCGCCTGAAAATTAAATGGTAAATAATTTTATATAAATGTTAAACTGCATAATATTAAAAAATTTTTCGAAATTGTATAATATATAAGAAAAATCTATATACTTGAAAATAATTACAGAACATTTTTATGTTAATTATTATTTTAAGTTATTTAAAAATATAAAATTTATTAATCGCTATTTTTGTTAAAATATAGCTTTGGGTGGTGTATACTTTATAGTCTACTTCAAATTATTTGTTTTGTGATATTTTTGCAAAAGCCGAGAGTTATTTTTCAAAAGATTAAAAATGAATATTTTACATTTCTATAAATTTAATACTAAGAAATACTCTTTATAACCGTATGATGGTAATAAATTTAATTAAAATTGTGTACATAATTACAAGATGCAATCTAGGGTGAATATGAAATAGTATAACGTTTCTTGGCTTTTCGATAAAAAGTTCTAATAATGTGATCGTAATCATAGAACTTCAGTTAGTGTATGCCCTTGGAAATTGTAAAAATTGATTGGTACAGCTTAGAGTGCTACTCTGCTTATGGTTGAATTGCAGTCGATAATAATAATAAGTATTAAGAGTATCTTATTATATAATAAGATGAAAAAATAGGCATCAAATGGTTTAAATTTAATCTGTAAATAATGTGTCTCCTCCGTTAATACTTCTTACTGGCCAAAATGTACAACGAAATGTTATTTTAAATATTCCGCACTACTCGTGTAACTCGTTAAATATAGTTACACTTTAAATTAAATTTCGAAAAATGTTGAGAATATACACTTGCAAACAGACTACAAACATTTATACAAAGTATCGATGCTATTCTACAAGGCTTTTAAGCTAATCAAAAACTAATTTGGATTTATGTATGAAATCTTGTAACCATAAATACATTCGAGTGCCTCGAATCAATAACTATTTTGTTATTGATTACAACTGTTATCAAACAATAGTTGTTAATAACTATTTAAGGACAAATTACTTTAGAACTATCAATTACTAATATTTGTAATTATTGAACAATTGTCAAATATATAATAAATATTATCACCACACGTACATAACAAATATGTACAACAAGTGGTTTTATCCAAGTATACTTCAGATAACTAATATCTTTTATGGATCTTTTAAATATGGATAATTTTTTAAAATTTATTTCCTAAGATATTATGATTTTGCGCGAGTACAATATAAAAAACATTACTATAACGTTACATATTTAAATGTCTCCACATATATTTAATTTGAATTGTTTTTTGAATGTAACATTATCAACTGATAGGATTTTAATAAGAGTCGATTACCTGTAACGCTTCAGCTTCGTCTCGCCTCTCGTCCTCCGTGTTCATTGTTACGAACCTGAGAACTAACAGATTGAGCGAAGCAGCCACAATGGCAAGTCCAAACAGAATGAAAATTAGTGTGAACGCGACATATTCTAACTTCTCGTTCAACGTGTTGTTCTTCTGCAGGGCTACCATATCACCGAATCTGTCGAACACGCGATAAATGAACACAATTAATTGTTGTAATTCGCCTTTCATCGAAACAATGGTCAAAAAAGTGTGTGATCATTTGTGCGGGTGGAATGTTACTATAAACAATGCAATTACCCGATGGTGGTGAGCGTTACGAAGCAATAGTAGACCGAGTCAAAATACGTCCAGCCCTCGTAGCTGGAGAAGGCGGTCGCCCCGCCCGCAATGGTTAGACTGGACAAGAAAGAGACGACAAAAATGAGATTTATTTCGGTGGCTTCTGTGCGTTTGCAACCCAGTGCCCTTTTTGCCTGCCTTATCACAACGGACGAGAACTTGTTTAGCCGCTCGCCGATGCTCTGGAACATTACCAGGCCCAACGGAATGCCTACCATCGCATAGAACATTGTGAACAGCTTTCCCGGTGTCGTGTTCGGCGTCGAATGTCCGTAACCTGTTAACACAATACATGTTTTTACTAACCAACAGCCTCGTGAGTTCTAAACAAGAATCAAGTTGAAAAAATGGAGACACGTTGACTCAAAATAATTTTTTACCGAGGCATTCAATCCGCTAGAAAGAAAGACAAAATGTTACGGATGCTCACGGTTAATAATATTGTTTTCATAAAAACATTTTTATTTCAAATTCGTACGGATTTGAACAGTCGTGGTACATAAGCAGTAGTTTTTACATTTGATTGTACACATGTACTGCATTGTTTTTACCGCGAAAGGATTCGACAACAGTTTATTTTCGAGGACATAACAACAAGAACGTTTGGCTTTTTAAAATGTTATCGCGGCGAAGAATTCAGTAAGAGCAGTTCTAAGAAATAATTTCCGAGTCGAGATCATGTAGGAGATAATAGAATAAAACGGCTGGAAGTTACTTTGGAGAGACAATTGTTTTCTCTGCAGTACATCTCCGATTAATTAGGAAAACCAATTACGTACGTTTCCGCATGTGTTCAACAAGAACATCTCGCAAATCTTTTGGTAATGTCGTGGTAAATCTATTGTAGCAAACGATTTCTCAAGAACTGTTGGTTTACTTTTAGGTTTGTTCATATTTTATCTGAACTATCGCCGTATCGGTAAAACGTATAAAACACCGTTACAGGGTTTAATTCTGTACACTTGAAACTTAAATGGTCGGTATTTATTCATACGAAATGTACCAGAAGAATACCCATAGAAACGATATAAAAAAAAAACACGTTCAAATGATAAGATATTATACGCATTACATACGAGGGATGTTTTTTTTTTTTTCGTGAGAGGACTTAATAAAATCTGTGCACGTAGTCCTCTCGAGTGAATTGATTTTCTCAGCGGTCGTGGCAGACGTACGTGTACGTGTGCTTGCAGTTGAATTAGCCAACCGAATTACTTACAAGTTATAACAAAGTGTATTATGGTTTTATTATTATTTAGTACCTATGGTGGTGAGGACCGTAGTGGCGAAGTAAAATGCTCCGGCGAACTTCCACTGTTGGCCTGCCTTGTGCGGTTCCGATTTCAACACAATCGTCTCGATCAATCGATAATCGTCTGGCGATATTTCGTACTTGTTGATGATCATTCGTTCGATGGCTGCGAATAAACATGAAAACATTATTTTTAATTTTTTTACAAAAATATCCCAACCATTTTTTACTGTAAATCAGCAGTTGCTTCGTTGATATTATTATGCGAAACGGTTGTACACCGTGTGCAATAATAGTAATCGTGTGAGTGAAGGTTTTTATTTCTCTGACCTTCAACGCACAGAGTTTTCACTTATTTGTTGACCTAGTTACGAGTGCATAACACAAAAAATGGCGACAACACAGCTTTTCCCTCCCCCGATGAGATTATTCTTTCATTTCTATCTATACTAGTCTGAGTTTACACTTGAAATAATTAGCGACGAAATTAATTTGTAGCCAAAACCCTTTTAATTGGCTGCCTAACTTTAATTAACCGTGCTTGTCCCTTTTAAGTCAGACATCTCGAGGCCAGCGCCAACGCGTCCAACTACAATCCACGATTTACTTCCGAGAGGAAAAAAATGCATTCACTAAATCTACTACCTTCAGATACTAGAGATAAATCAAATAAGGAGAAACAAATCACCGATTGTTGACTTGAATTTTATAACCTATAGGTTCGTACCTTGCACATTATTTGTATTATGTTGTTGGCAAAATACTTAAATATTATCGTTTAACACCGAAACAATAATAATGATCCAATGTTTTTACTTTAAATGTAGAACGACCATTGTTTGAAAGTTATACATTAGTTAAGCGCCAATCTTATCTAAATCTTTCTTTGCTTATTGTATTTAGCGTTGCTTTTCTTTTTACAGAATTTGTAGAGAACTAATGTTTTGCCGAATAATTTAATATCTTAACGCGTGATTTATGTGCGATGGTCTTTTACGTAACTCGGTAAATTTACATTGTTTGGAACGTGTCCAATAATCTAACAAAAACATATTATGTAAACTGTTAGAAAATTTTGATTCAAGAACTAAAAGCTGTGGGGTTGCTGCTTGTTAGCTGGCAAGATAGTCAATACATAAAACCAAATTATTTAGAATCCAAAAAGGAAGGGAGCAAACAACGTCAAGTGAACGCTAAACAAATGGCTAGAAAAAGAATAATATGATCATTTTCGTATTATTACGTCGATGTATTTTTATCACAAGGCTTTTCATTTTTCACGGTTAGGTACCCTAAAGGCTATAATGAAATATGAATCAATAAACTAGAGATTCGTTTTCGTCCTTGGTAACTTGTTTCAAAAGCACTTTTTCACTAAGAGGAGATTGGAGAATATTGAAAGCATAAAAAGTAATTCGATTTTGGAATAATGTGCAGAGAATATATTTTTTTAGTCATTCTATACCTTCCCAGTTCCACTAAATTCTATCACTGTTATGTTAAAAAAACAACTTACGAAAATATAATACTGCTCTTCCACTATGCAACCACAGTTATTTAGAAGAAATATCATTACTATAGAGCATTGCAAAACAATAATAAGATGTTTTGAAGAAAATGTTACAATTGTAACTAGTAACAGACTATTTTTTTGGAGAATTAAATAAACATCAACAAAGATCATACATTTGAAATCTATTTACACCATAATTTATATCAAATTTTCTAACATTAATCGCCGTTCAAGACTACATATAAGACTCTTGTCAACTTAAATTAAACACATAAACTTTACAATTTATATTTTTAATTCTTAAATATTTTTCCAAACTGTATCAAATCATCACTCTTTAACTATACATTATATTTTATGAGATCATTATAATGTTAAAAACTAATTCAAATCTACCCCCCCACTTTGGTATATTCAATTGTACCCCATAGTACATGTTTCAACAAATTTATCAAAAATTGTACAATGAAATACAACATCATATTCCATAATATCTCATTTAAAATAATATAATATTTTAATTTAGCTTGTTTTGTTAAATACTTACTGAATGTTTTTGTTTTTTTCTCAAACTCTTATTTTGATGGTAATAAAACGGTAACAAAAAATTCAAAAACACAGTTTTATTTATAATTATGAAAATATTAATAACAGCTATCTGATGGTCATATCATATATTGGGTACAGTATGACTAACCTTCTGTATTTTACTTGAATTTACTTTATCACTACAACTAATTTTATTTAATCAATTCAAATCTACCCTGCATTCAAATGTGCCCCAATCTCCCCTAACCATAATTTTATAAAATTATTTTATTTACAAATATGAAATGTATTAATATAAAAAGCCAGTTGATCTTAGTATTTTCTAATTAGTTTAAATTAGAGAATTTTAAATTACTAAGTATTCCCAAAAAAAATATCAAAGAATAATTAGATTTTTCAACCAATAAAAGATTAAGAGTGCACAACAAAGTGATATAGACATACAAAATGAAATGAAATTTAATAGAAAACGAGGAAGAAAGAATATGATATGATGAATTTACTTGAAAATGACGTACAATAATTTGGTATGTGTTTTACAATATATAAAATAATATTCATAAATACATACATCCCGAAAAATAACATAAAAATAATAATTTTGACTGAATTTGATAAAAATCCGTGTGATTAAATATGGAAAGACTTATTATTTGTCCAAACGCATTATAATTTGGATTTATACAAACGTGACCTAATTTTGACCGATATTGATATTTAATGGCCGAAATATAGAGGTGGTCTAATTTAGGCGCCGGTCCAAAGTGACTCTCCTGTACACATATAAAGTTATCAATACTTGAAATATGAAGCTGATAAAATTTATAGAATAGTCCAGACAATATTAATACATGTCTATGACATTATTTTGATACATACAAATTTCGGGGAAACTGAGCACAGTTAATGGCGAACACGAATAATCGAGTAAAAATCAAACGAGATTCTTCTTTATAGGTATGCCGAGTATGAAAAACATATTTTCAACAGTTGAGTCTATATTTGCTAAAAAGAAATATTGTGATATTGTGGCAACACAGTTGTAAGATTAGAAAAAGCAAGAAGAACATAATATATTTGTAAATGTTAACATAAATATTTCTAATAAAATAAAAAACAACTGATATAATTCCTAAAAGAAAAAGTTTGCTTCGATGCCAAGCTGAGAAAGAATTGATTTTGTAATTGTGAGTTTTTTTTATATCTGAACATAACAATTTTTCAAGTCTCACTGGACCGATTTAATGATCAACACGTCAAAATAATCTGATTTTAATACAATTAAATCTATCAATACCTAAAATTTAAAAAAACCCTTAATATAAAAAATTCATAAAAATATCTTTTTCAAAATTTTTTTTTCTACATTTCAAAACTGATATTTTTCTTTTAACACCCATCTAAATGAGTATTAAATTGCGGGTTTTTTTTTGGTGTGCTCTTTCTGGAAACTCGATTAAAAACCTAAGTACAGGAACGGTTTGAAAAGACCATTCACACATACTCGACTCTACAATAAAATTGAATAAATAAACTTCACCAAAGCCAGTAGTAGAAAAAGAAAAATAAGCTGGAAAGAATATTGAAATCTAGAGTTTTCGTTAAAAAAGAATACATTGCCGCGACATGGTATACTATATTAATAATATGAGCTTGACATAGCAGGTCATATTCCTAAGGTAGGATTGATGTCGTTATGGAGCTGAGGTAAGTACTTGTATAAAGCATACTCGTTACTCGGGAGGTACACACGAATACTTGTACTTCACATATTTCTGTGTATCACTTGGCGTTGAAAGTTTCCATAATAATTCACACGAGTGCCGCCGCTTACCATCAAACCCGAGTGTGGTGACAGTGATAGAAAAATGTATAAATATATGTTATACACGTCTCCACACCGTTACTCGACGACACTCGAATACTCCCATTAGACCCGTACACATTTAAAAGCACCTCCCCTTTACCAGCACGGCCTCATATCTGCCGTCGAAAACTCAATGACAAATATCTATTCGCTATTAATGTCGAATGTGTTTTTTGGCATACAGTAAAAACGTTCGTTGAACCGTTTCCCGTCGCCGCGTGTGCGAAAATCGACGTGGACGACCATGACACAGTCGTCACGAGCGGAACAGGTATGCAAAAATATGTTTCTTTATATTGTATACGGAAATATTATCCTCCGCCGAATAGTGTCCGCACTACGCCTAGTTTATGTATAATATACATAAATGTCCATGGCCGTATTTCCCGTATGTCGTCGTTGCAGCTACGGCGAAGAGGTCGAACCGGCCGTGATTGATGTGGCGTACTGCCGATGACGTCATTGCGTGTATCCATGGCGACTGGTAAAGGGCGAGGAACAGACGATGCCGCCACTGCCGGCACCGTTGTCCGCCGCTGCAGTATGTTTTTCTTCACCCGGCACCTCTACACATCCTCGACCCAGCCCTGTTTTACCGCACTACGCTCTTTCGACTTGGCCCCAGTTTTCTTACTATTTATTATTGTTACCCCAATCTCCTTAGCAATGCACAAAGCACATCGCCAAAGCATTTTCCGTTGAATTTATACACTTGTCTTAAATGGATCTACATAATATCACGAGCAACCGCGTGCAAATATATTACCATTATAATGGCGTCTGTGATAAGTTGAATAAAAATCATTTGCTCCAAACTCAACGTAGTTTTTTGAAAAATTTTTTATGGACTGGAAATAACAGTACATCAATACAACTAACGACCGTTAGTTTGCCGCATTGTGTTATTGCGGATGCAATAAACTCGAACCTCGCCACTTTTTTTATTTAAAACGCGCTGCTAACTTTGTGCCAATACAATGTCAATATAGGTATAAACAATGGCCGTAATTTTATGACAATATGTACCGTTTTACCGAGTGGATTTTTACCGCACATTTATGTACTTAAAAAAGCAGATTAAAGACTTATAAAAAACGCATATTTACAATCACACGTGTAAAATCGACCTAATAGTCATTTCTCGTTCTACCTCAAAAACACTACATAAAATCAAACGCTTTAACTAATACGTCAGGCATTTCAATACAAACGCAATAACTTTACTAGGATTTTTTTAAAAATGCGAGAAATATTTCATTTATAGCTCAGCAATATATCATTGAAAATGAAAATGTACAAGTTTAAGTAGTATTTTTTTAAGTCCTATTAAAAATTTAAAAAATAACAAATGTATTAAATAAAAAACGTATATTATAACAGAATAAGGATTGTACACAGCTTTTTTCACGAAAGTATTATTGTTGCTAAAAATTCTTAAGCAAATAGAATAATGCTTCGAATTAAAATAAATATTTATATTAATTAGTAAGCATGTCTTTTTTTGGACTGTATTCTATTGAATAGAGATCAAAGAAGTTTTCAAGTGATGTACGAAGTACCAGCTCTAATGAGTATTACTCGAAATAAATAAAAATATGTATGAAGAATAATATTTACATTTTAATTCACTAAATAATATTAATAAATAAAAAATAATAATTTCGTGCAATGAAAAAAAATATCTAAAATTAAATTAATCATTCAGTATTATAATGCACAAAAAGAATATTTTCTAATTCAAAAATTAACATTCCATAAAATTAATTTTTTTTCAAAGAATAATAATTATTGATTTTTGTGTATAATAGAAAGGAGATAAAAGATATGCTGTACAACAAGAGTTTCCTAAGCGAATACTTTTGTACTTTGACCTAAAGAAAAACAGTTTTGAAAAAAATACTCGAGCTTAATGTCGCGGAATCGATGTTATCTGGTAAGCACATTTTCATTTTTTTTTTATTAAAATTGTTTTTTACCACTTGATATCTCAAAATATTTACGTAATAGAAAATTGGTTTTATATTCTGTCAATGTCTGCACGGGGGTAGACTTGTTATATACTTCAAAGCTTTGTTAGAGTGTATTGACCTAAAATTAACCTTCATTTTTTTACAGCATTATTAAAATACCAGAAAACGTATTCGAACGCTGACGCCAAAATACGTTTGGCTGCCTCGGGAGGTGCTTTTTAAATGAAAATTGTGTACAACTATGTGCGCATCTAATGGGGGGGGGGGGTAATCAATCTGGTTTGCTTACAGTCCAGAGCTTGTTTCCTGCGTATTTCCGTTTCGGACTCTAGAGCGTCGAACACGGCGGCACCGATGAGCAGATAGGTGAACGTACAAACGATCAACGATAATGTGCGGACGTTTTGCTTCTTCATCCTGCGGGCGACACCATGGTGCTGGCCGCCACCGGCGCCTTACCAACGACGCCGCCACCTCAGCTGTCGCAGAAGATGCGGCCACTGGGCGCCGAATGCCTGTGCATTGCCGGTGATCTGCTTGTGTGTCGTGCAGACCGAGTGCTGCGTGCATCCGTCTGTCCAACATGGCAGCCAGAGTTTCTCGACGCGCCCATTACAACCTGAGGGTGAAATAAAACATTTTAGCATATCCGACAAAATAATGCACATAGGCCTTAATTTATTACACTTTTTTAGCGGCCGTTTAGATAAACGTTGACCTAGTAACTTCTAGGGACATACATTTCTCAGCACTCCCAAATCGAGTTAAAAGGTAATATAAGAAAAGTTGGCTCTAACACATATTATTACACTCGCAAAGTGAAAACCCCGGAAAAATTAATATTTCAAAGTCTAAATACTATAAACATGATGTTACATGAATTTTGTTATAATGAACTAAAATTGACTACTGCGTCGGGCTACCATTTAACAAGCGGTCACATTTGGTAATGGTGAGCAATTTTCGAAAAATTACACAATTTTATACTAAATTTCATGTTAAGAAAAATACTTTTTTTTTTTTTTAATTAATTATATTTAGAGTACGTGCAATTAATAGCTTTACATAGGACGATTAGTTTACAACGAACCACATATTTTATCAAAAAGTATAAATATTATTGTTAATTTGTTTTTCTCTTAGTTACATATTCATTTTAATGTATTGATTATAAATGGTGTCAAATTTATTTTTTTCAAATGACAACATACATAATTTACTAGAATCTTTATTAGAGTATGATCTAATTAAGTATATGACTGGTTGATCACATCTTTTGAACCACTGTTTCAGAATTTATTAACAATTTAAAATAATGACTAGAGGTGCTGTTTTTTTTATTAGAAATTCCCCTTTGTACATCTCCTCCCATTTAGGTATAAAAATGTTAATAATTTCCGAAATAGTTTTCATTAGATAATTTTTTATTTTATAAGCTAGTTGAATATATATTTTGTTATTTAAAAGAATTAAGTTGATTCCCTTATAGGACATAAAGAATGATCATAAAAATATGTGATAGAAACATGTAACTAAAAGGCACCAAAAAAAAAAAAAAAAATTATCAATATTCTTTCTATTTTTTTTTAATAATTTAGCGGTTCGTCATAAAATAATAACCTTGCATATATGTAATCCATTAAATGTAATTATATTTATAAGTATTTAATTTAAAAAAATATTAGTTTGGGCAAAGCAAATAGCTACAATTTGCAGAGTTAAAACTGTTATTTAAGCTAAAACCGTTACAAAAGTATCTATTAAAGAGATTGATTAAAAAATAATTAAACTAAAACAACTATAATAATTGAGGAAGTGAGTTTCATTTGTGTGTAAAGGATAAAGAAAATTATGTTTACTAGTGTTTAAGATAAATTTTGTTGAAATAAATTGAAATTAGTTAAAATACTCACTTTACCAGAATAATCGGCAAAGCGACTAATTCCAAAATCAAATATTTAATTTTTGAGATAATTTTACAATATTATTACAAATTAAATGATGTTTGGCAACAATTCATCGTACTTATTTTTGCTCCTAAACTTAATCTGGCTGCTTTGCCTGGTTTCCCTTAACTTTCAATATTTTGAAAAATTAATAATTTATTAAACTTAAACGTGATAATATCATTTTAATTTTTACACTATTTATTATTTAAAGAAGTATAAAATTTAATAGAGTAAATAAAAATGTAAAACCTTATAAAAGAGATCTAAATTCATTTTATACAAGCAGTGCCACGCCTAGGGGAGGCACTAGGTGCACTGGAGAAAACGCCTGCTAAATACTCAACACTATGAATTATAGAATTGAAGACCTATTTATATATATATTTTTGTATATTTTCAATTATTTTTAATAATTGTGATCTTGTAAAAGACTAAAAACAATATTTAATGTCAACATTTTCTTTTGACCGAAAAATAAAAATGTGATTATTTTATTTATCTGATTTGTAGCACAAATATTTTCCCTTTATAAGTGTTATTATATTTTTAACGATAAGGTCATTCATGTGAGAGGAAAGGTGACTCCTGCATTAACCCATCTGTAAATACAGTTCTAGAGGTATATAAATATCAGAAATTTTGGACTTAAAGTAACTCAAGTTATTTCAAAAATATGATGAACAATAAAAAAGGTTATTCCTAATTTTCGAAATGCAGCCAAACACACGAGTATTATTACACCTGTTGTTCAACATTACCTTTATACACGATATTTAAAGAGTACCTCATTTGTCAGTAATTAATAAAGTAATTTAGTACCACGTAAATTAAATACACGCATACTTACCCGAGAATANTGTACACGATATTATAAAGAGTACCTCATTTGTCAGTAATTAATAAAGTAATTTAGTACCACGTAAATTAAATACACGCATACTTACCCGAGAATACTATTAAATACGATTTACGCTTCAAATATCTTACAAATAAGTTTATTGGCTGTTTTTAATCAATATCAATCAGACAGCGGTATTAACCAGAAATAATTTAAATTGAACTGATACACTATTTTTATTACTTAATTATAAAGGTCATTATTTAATTTCGATAAAAAATAATGCTCAGTTATAACATAAAATTAAAGCTAATTTATCCCAAATTACAATATTAATATTCAGCCATCTGATCATTTTAATCATACAACATAAATACAGATTATCAAATGTTATACGATTTTATGAAAACTATAAGACAATGAAAATTATTATATAATATACTATACATATTATAAGTTTTTACTTTTTTGTTTTACAAGGTACTATACAAGGTTTATTCATTATAAAAATACCATTTCGATTTAAATAGGTATTTAAATCAATATTTTTAAATAAGTTATTTAAATACTTTCTAGAATAACAATAGTACAATTGTTGAAAGCAATGTAAAAACTAATACTTATTTTTTTATTATTTAAATATTTAAGAGATATATTATCTAATTTATCAAAAAATAAATAGCTTAAATTTTCAATTCCGGATAAAAAGTTTTCTTATTTTAATTTTGAAAATTGTTAAACGAAAGATAAGTAGAGTAGATATCAGCTATTGAGCGGATTTCTATCTAATATCATTAGTGTAGTCCAATATCCGTCTTCACACTTCATATAATTTTACTTTATGTTGTTTGTAGGTCTAGCTGATAAAAATTAAGAAGTTTCCATACTCATTATTACTTCTATGAAAAAAAGATTCGAAAATCGAGACAATTAAAAGAAAAAATATAAAAAGTTAAAATACAACATTACAGGACTAAAAGTAAGTTAAAAACTATTGTTCTAAAAGCTCAAGAGTAATACTCAGAAGGTAATTTCATTAAAAACTGTTTGACTTTTATTTTGATTTATTTTTAAGAAAAATATTTTTTGTGTAAATTATAATTGATTTTTTGGCTTAAAATTGATGTATTCAATTTTACTCCTATCTTTACTCAAAGTTAATGAATGTTACACGAGGAATAGCAAATTTTATAAAGAATTCTATTTTATCACTATTATCAAATTATTACACAGAGTTGAATACCATTCTGCAAACTAAGGTGCGATAGATCATACAGAAGCTTTATATTTAAACTAACGTCAGATCGACAGTAAACAACTAATAAAAAGAATTAATAACAGCAAAATTGATCAATAATTTAGTTTTGACAGAAGACTTTGTTACGAGCAACGGTAAGTGTAAATTTATGAATAAATGTCTAGATTTTTGTAAAAAAGAAATATTAATGAACTTTTTCATTATAACTGCTTGAAAATATAATGGGAATTAAAATAAGAAAAGTTTTTTAATTTTTTTCTTTTCATTACAATAAATCATAGCTGATACTTACAATACCAATTCTTAGGCATAAAACCAAAATTCAATATGCTCTTATGTTTCTAAATTTTTAAAGAACTCATAATTTTTAATAAGATACTGGCAAAAATTATTATATAATATTCCAGTTTGCAATTATTGAACTTGTTAATCACATTGATAACTACAGTGTTGTATTAAACAATCAAATATCATTATTTTTTTCAACTAAGTAACCGAGAAAAGTTTTCACAACAGTATACAATAAAGTGTTTGCAATTTAAAGCTCGGAATTTACATACAATTCAATTTTGATATATTTACCACGCAAGACTCTGTCTACGCTGAATGATTGAAGAGGTGTTAACTATTTTTACATAGTCGACTTGACGCGTGCTCAGTCTTACGTTGGATTTCGTTATCTGTACACAGTTTCCATCCTATTACGGTTTTTTGGGAATTAAAACAGCAAAATTTCCTCAATAATCTCTTATATCGGTTTTCAAAAGTCGCCTTTGGGTTGTCGGGTAAGCCGAATAGACTCAGCCAGGAATGGTTTGAAGTTTTGTTTCGAAAGTTCACTTCAGTACTTTTCTGAATATTTGTCGAGGGAAGAGTTTTATCCGTCTCGGTATGATTATAAACAAACACAAATAATGAAACACAACAATAGAATAAGATAAATATTATTATTGTAGTAAAACCGCGTTTCCGGAAAATTGAGACTTTATGTTAGATGGGATTATATTTTTTCATATAAATCATCAACGGGCTAAACGACTTTTGATTATATAGCGGCGTATCGCATAGGCAATATTGCTACTCTCATGTATTTGACTAGTTAAAAAAATCTAGTATTGATTTGTAGTAATCATTTACTATGATATTTTAATTTAATCGTTTTCTTTTCTTAATACACATAAAATAACTAATTATATAATTTTTTAAAAAATATTTATTATAGTAGTAAATATTTATTTATAACTATTTAAAACCTTGACAGTTAATATATATATATATAAACTTCACTCTCTTACTTAATTTTAGCATCCATAATCTAATAGTTTAATATCGACATTTTAGAATACTACTTTTTTTATTTACTTTTATATTTCATTCAATATACTAAATTTTAACTACATTAAATATTTAAAATATTTTTTTTTTGCAAACTGAATTTTTTTCCGCATAAAATTTAGTTAATTATTAGGAATACTTGGTCATATTATGTAGAATAATAATTGTAGAAAACAGCAAACGGTCTACTAATTAAGCGAAACCACACCTCTCGTTTTTTGTGTTAAAATGCATGATCACGCAAGTTACACAGGAAAAACATTTTTACATGACTTTTTTAATAATAACATTATTTCTGTGTTGTTAATATACAGAAATCGCTATTATTACTATTATTATTATTTAGAAATTTAAAAAAATGTATTGTAAATGATTATTTTTTAAGGTGATCATACACAAAAATATATACAAGGAAAAATAATTTTTGATTTCTTTAGTTTCTTATAATTCTTGATTTATCAGCTAATAGATACTTATTGTAATCATCCCTTATAACTTAAGGGTAAATCAACTTCATTTTTTTAAATGGTGACATATATATTTAACTAGTCTATAAAGTAGGAAATAATCTAATTAAATGATTCAGAATTTATTAATAATTTAATGTAATGACTGGAGTTGATGAGTATGAGCTAATATTTTTAACACTAGTTGTTTCTCGGCCGTATTCTTCTTCCCGCATAGTTATACAAATATAAATAATATCCAATGTATTGGTTTAAAAACAAAAATTGTTATTGACTAGTATAAAAAATAGTAGCACCTATTCCTCATATCCAGTCATTCCTTTAAACTATTAATAACGTCTGAATCACTTAATTAGATTATTCACTATTTTATAAGCTAGTTAAATATGTATGTCACCATTTAAAGAAATAAAGTTGATATCCCCTTAAGTTATAAGAGATGATTCCAATAAGTAACTATTAGCTGATAAACCAAAAATTATATGTAACTAAAAGAAATCAAAAATTATTTTTACGGTATTGTATTTATTTAGTCTATAAATCTAAAAATAAAACACAAAAAAGATTTAAATAATTGAAAAGCTGCTTGGAACCAGTAGGGAATTTCCAACATTTTTCTGGGGTGGTCCTAAAGATTAAAATTTATTTAGAATACGTATCATATCTTACCTTATATATGAAATAATGTAAATATGTCGTTGTCTGGGAGTAGTTTAGATTCTTCCCACCGTAAATCCACCACTTGGTTCAATAAACAGGCAAGTACACATTTTTCAGAATTAATTGTTTGTAAGTTTTACACTAATTTTTCTGCGTATTACATCGTAAAAATGTATTTTATATTTGAATTATTTACAGAATCATTTAGTCAAGAGAAAACCTCTTACCAATTCTTACTCATATTACTGTTAATAAAACAATTTTCAATTAATTTCTCTCCCAGAAAAATATCTACAAGCATACCTGGCTGTCGTACTGATCCCAACAATTTCAGTTTTAATCAATTTTTCATAAATTATAATTAAATGGTTTTTTTTTTTGTATAGTGATAGCTATTGTTCTTTGAAAAATTGACCCGACCAAATTCTTTGTCTAATTATAGGGAATGTAAAGCTACCTTGATAATTTTTGTTTTTCATGTTAATTGAAGTAGAAAATTCTTATAAAACAATACGCAGCTACAGAAAATTTAATTCAATTAAATACAATGCACAGTTGTGTTTTCCATTTTTTCGGGTTTAATGTTATTGTTGTACAACCATTCCTTATGTTTTTGCTAATATAAATGAAAACAACATAAAAGGATATCGCAGGCCGTTTATCAAAGCTAGGATAAAATATAGTCAATGTTAAGTGCTTTCAATTATAAAAGTAAATAAAGACTAAACGTTTGAGGCACAATATTATTAAATTAACTATTACAAGGAACCATATTCAATGTGCTATATACTTCAAAAACAAATGACTACTGAAAATAAAAATATTTTAGTATCATTTGTTTTCAAAATTATAACAATTAAAATTTTTTTTACAATTATATAGACACCAAAATAAAAAAAATCAGTAATAATGGTGAATACAATAATATTTTGACTTGGTAAAAATATTTTTAAATATATCACATTTTATTTTTGTTTAATCATTAATAATAAATGATAAATTATGACGTTAAACAATGTCAGTTTCATTTTTTTTTTTTTTTTCGTAGAGTGTTTTAACATTGTAATTCGATAATGTTAAGCAAAAAGGCTGTTGTGTCGAAAGAGCCATTAAGGTTCTTTTTTAATAGGAAAATTAACCAATTGTTTCCATCTGATTTATCACATTTCTTAAACAACTGCCAAAGATATCTTTAATTAATATCAAAAGCACTTGCCGGATCTACAAAACGGTGCAAAGGAAATATTCTTTTAAACGACATTTTAAGGACACTTCGAAAAACCACTTCTGTGTATTATGTACAAATACTTTACTGTATGTTGATGAAACAGTATCTTATACTTATAAAAGATATGTACTTAACAGTATATTGGCCATTAAATATTATAAACGGTAATTTTCTATCAACTCTCAAGAGGAATTCTAAAAAGAAAAGAATCTATTTAAAATGAACATAAAAACAAAAAATGTTTCAATTGTTTTTATACCTGATATTACTTCAATAACAGTGAAACTAAAACGATTTTAATTATAAAAATCAATTTTAGTTTGCCGATTTTAAAAACTGTTAATCTTGCAAATATTCAACCAAAATAAATTAGGTTGTTAATGTATGCCAAAATTTGATTTGTAAGTAAGTTTAGTTTCACAACTTAAAGAATTCGTATCATGGTGTTGACCTACAAGAATTCCTTAGCGGTGTAAATATTACTACAACATGTAAATTCCACAGATATATATTATGTTTTGTACATCTTTGGTCGATTAATATCTTATTCCACTTCATCATAGTATTGTCAATAGTGTCACAAATAACTATCCATTTAACTTACTACTAAAAACGAAGTTACTTAAAACCTGATGTAATTATTTTCATATTATCAATATGGAAACACTATCTAAAAATGTACCTCAATTACACTATGAAACTTAGTGATTATATGACATATTTGATCGCTTGTTTAAAACGTTAAGTACTGTAAAAGTAATAGAAACTTGTCTACAAAAGTTTAAGCACACTTTTTACCCGTTGAGTGTAAAAATTTACATCTTAGTTTTCTTAAAAACTTTTTTCTTGATTAAGAAAAAAAAGTGTAAATAATTAATTTTTACAGAGAACTGAGTGCACAAATTTTACTGAACTCCTCCGCCGAATCATTCGTGATAACAGTTGACCTAGGTAACTGCTTACTCTTATCTCTGTGTGACGTAACTGTTAGCGTTAAAAATAAACATAATAATAATAATTCCATAATTGTCTGGGTAAATTATGCGACTGAATCCCAATTGTATTACTGTACTGGTCAGAAAAAGAAACGCTACAGCGTTGGGTATAAAATATAATGTATTATATGTAATGTTATCTGCGTAACGCAAACACGTTAGTAATAATTACACTCGAGGGAACAGAGTTTCTTCTTTAGTTTTTCTCGCCCCACCGACAAATTCGATTGCACAGCATGCTCCGAGTACCCCCCGGCACTAGAGCAATTTACTACACGCGCCACATATAGGAAATTAACAGCCCAAGGGACGAGCAGACCGGCGACGGTCGTATAGAGGTCGAATTAAGCCTAATAGAACCGTCGCCTTGGGTACCGCTAATTTCCATTCGACGGGCTTGGTCTGGTCAGACATAATTATCATGCGACCGATGATAAAGCCAAATGCGTGTAAAATATCTCTACGGATATCATTCATTCCTACTGAGATTTGTGTATCCAACAGACACATATTCAGTTACGTGTTTCATATTTCCCTTTCGATTTTCTACAATGATTATTTTCGTCTTACCCAAATGACCAGCGTGTGTATTTTGACCGGACAATTGAACTCAGAATGAGTATTATTGCATCGAAACTAATAAAACTTACCTAAGTGAGCATAGACTCGCCGTAGGTGACGTTGGCGATGGTTCAGTGGCAGTGGAAATGACGACCACCACCACTACCGTGGCCGGCGGAATGGCCTAGAAAATATTCTTTGGATAGCCGATGGTCTTGAGAGTCATGTCTTGAAATCGTGACGGTTAGGCGTCAACAAAAACTGGCGCACGTTTAATAAAAAACGATTTATCGGTAAACGGAGCTAACTATTTTTGCGTTGCATGAAAGTTAAAATGAATCAGAAACTATTAATTTAAAAACAAATGATCGAAATGAATAATTTTTATCATTGCGCATTAAACGGTGCACTGCACAAGAGCGACATGATTATATCGCATGTGTAATTTTTTAAGTAATAAGCGTAAGTTAATTGGTGTGTGTGTAGGTGTTAATGAATAATTTGGGTGTCTATTAATGAGTTTAAGTGTGAATTGAATGGTGAGTGTGTGTAGTGTGTGAGTGGTGATAATGTGTGAATGTGGTAGGGAAACGGACTGAGCAGCGCAACGTTGTACGGCGGCCGCCGGGATCCGGGTGTGCGTTTGGTTGGCCGACGGCTCGGACAGAGAGACTACAACGGCAGGAATCCGCTGAGAGAAACGCCGCGTTCGGCGCAGCGCCGCCGTACCACAATCAATATTTCCCCTCTCGCGCGCGCGACACATCCCGTTTGTTCCTGTGACGTCATCTCCGGCAGCGCACATGGTATTTGACGGTGTCCCTTCGGCGCCTCGTTGCTCCCGCTTTCTACACGGTCCATCCTCGCCGCCAACCGTCCATAAGAGATTCTTGTACGGGGTGTCGTATCCGACTGCACGGCGACGGTGGCGCGCGCCATTGGATCAAAGAGGCTTTTTCAATTTTCCTTTGGCAACACAAGAACCGCAGCACATGCTAAATAATTATGTTTATAATCTGTTTACCGACTAGCCTTAGTCTACCCATGGGTATTGCCTATGTATGCCCCTTATAAAGTATTCAACGGCAAAACAAACTCTAGATACCAATTGAATATAATAAATTCATATGTTTAAATCTGGAATGAAGTTATAAATCACTTGAAGCATTTTACAGCTATTGAAACTTAAATAATGTACAAGTAACCAATTAGCACCGTACGTTGAGAGTAAATTTTCAGACCAAGTAAAATCATAAAAAGACACGTTCACGGCTATTTTCTATTTCTCTAGTCTTTTAACTCCATAACCTCGCTTTTAATATTTTTTAAAACTATTCATCAAAGCAGAAAGTTTTATATTTTTATCTATAAATAGTATATATCCGATATCAATTTTAAATAGTGCCAATAGTTATCGCCCTGTCAACCGTATATCACATCTATGTGATTTTTTTAACGTTGTCTTGGACATTTTGCCATAATATTTTATGTTTTTCATGACGGCCACAGTTAGTACGTGACGGCCGGAATCCTTTTTGACATGACGTCTCTCCGACTCTCTGGTCTGTCGCGGTTAACGCAAAATATCTGAAAACGCCATCTAAAAATAATAAAAACAGTCGCTCGGTTCTGCACAGTTGCATGTTTAATGTAAAATTTTAAGACGAAAATCTCTTCGGATATTAATCACGGAATATTCCTAAGACTTATTTATCTTAATTTGACTATTTTTTGTTGGATAGGCAACAGAGAGTTATGGTTGCTTAATGATAGTTGAATAAATTACAATATCTCGCACAAAATAGCCCATTACTTAATGCATTTTCAGTTGAACATTTCAAGTGTTGATTTTGCAAAACCATCAGCCATAATTTATTAAAATATTATGCAACAAGGAAAAAAGTCAAACCAATAGAAATGTAGCTCAGTGGATAAAATACAATTATTTTACAACATATCCTTTACACGGAGTATTACAATTAGCTAATTAGAGTTTAGTTTGGAAACATAAATTTAATTAATAACCCATTATAATATGTTGACCTAGTTAGCCAATAATAGTTATTCAATTGAATAGTTGTGATTAACTCGTAATGGAGCTATGACGCTACAACAAAAAAATTATCTCAGTTGTTGATCAAATTACTACTAACATCGAAATAATTATTTCTATTTGCGCATACAAGTGTTTGAAAAAAAGCGAAATGATATTTTCTTTTTTGACAAAAAAAAAATGTAATTTACTAAAATAAAAGTTTAATTTCAAACATTTATCGTTGTTTAGGAATAATACACACCGTGTAGATTTTTAAACAGTAAAAATCAATAGTTGGTAATAATTTTTTACGTAAGATAGTTTTTATTTTAACTAAAAGAACAATAAATAATTCTTAAGAAATTTATAATTTAAACTTGTCCACTTTTTGAAGTTTGGGGATTTAACCAAACACAATTTCTCTAGATACAAATACTTGACGGTCATATTTTTGATTGCCGTCGTACGAACCGGAGATAACACCAGTAACAATAAAAACGATGAAACTTTAAAATGACGTCGAGGCTGTTGGCTAATATCCAACGTTACAGATGAACTCTTCCAGTAAATAAATGTATTGACTTTTATGAAAAGAAAGTGTTAAAATATACAAAGGTGATGTATAACTCATTTGTTTGACATATTTTAATCTGATTTATTTACAAAAAAATAAATAAAATCGATTTCAGATTTTTCAATGCATAACTTAGAAGGAAATTGGTTCATTCAGTGCCGGAAAAAACGTTTAAGTTATTCTATTAAAATAAACACGATTAATCAATAAGGAAGTGTTTATTATTTTTCAGTGAAATATATTTTACAATGTCTCGTAACCGAAACATATAGAATCAATGAACTCGATTTAACTATACTTCTTATTCGTAAAACCATTTTAACCGAAATAACAGTTACCGTATAGATATGCATAGCTTATAAGCTACGCACAATAATATCTATTAATTTTTACTTTATAAAGTATAAATCAACAGATATCATATCGTCACCTCAAACTAACTTATAATTAACTTATTTATTGAGCTTATCAGAACATAATAATTAAGAAAATTTGTATTTCCTTCCCCGAATTTTATCTAAATTACTTTATTCTTTTCAACATCTTTCTTCCGAAGATGCCTTTCATTTTACGATTAGACTCATATAAACAGTTTGCTTATGGGGCTCTCAAAGTACTAAACCGACTCTGCTGATAAAAGTATAAAAGTTGTTATTTAAAAATTAATTTGCCATTTTTAAAGCCTNTACTTATGGCTCTCAAAGTACTAAACCGACTCTGCTGATAAAAGTATAAAAGTTGTTATTTAAAAATTAATTTGCCATTTTTAAAGCCTAATGAAATTAAAACCTTTACAAATAGCATATTAATATAGTGTATTTCTTGTATCATATTCATGGAATCGCATGTATATTTTTATTCATGTTCTTCATTTTATTTTAAAAGCTAGTGATAGAATGGAAACGAAATACTACACAGCTTAACGCAGCAGAATAGAACCTAAGTACTTTCCTACCTCAAAAAGAGTTTTTATGTTTTCACTTAAAAATATACAGACTTAAGAGAGAATTTTTACCTAATTGTGAACTAATTAGTAGCCTCATGAAATACATACTATTTTATTATTTTAAGTAACTTTAAAATTTAGGGAAATTCTATTCTAATAGACTTACATTATTCAAACCTTCAATCATTTTAAATTATTATTGGTAATTTAAAGGAAAATTTTATCCTAATCAATAAATATAATCAAATTTAACTACATTACAATAATGTAATTTGGAAAAATTTTAAGGAGGTGGTAGTATTTAATATTTTATGAGTGATTGAGAATTCAGAAAAATATTTATTATTTTCTGTAATTTTTAAAAGAAAAAGAAAAGGAACGTGATTACAAAAGTAAAAAGTGTCTACTTTAACTAATAGTTATTTTGTAAGATGCATTAGCGAAATCAGACCAAAAAAAATTTTAATTGATAGATTTTTTAATGACTTGCATTAATGAACTAAATAATTGCAACAAACTAATCATTAATTTAATCATTTTTCAGGTAAAAAATGTGTTCATATCATTATTCTACAAATTTAACATGTTGTTTAATTGACTAGTTCAAATCGATTTATTAGGAAAAAATTCGATTAGATTTTTTCAATTATGTTGGAAAATCGAACAGTTTATAATATAACTAGTAATTATCATTTAAAAGGAGTGTAGGATTTACTTTTGTGTTTTTAATTATTAAATATCTATATGTTAACATTTTTTCCTTATATTTTAATTTTAATTTTAGCTTTTATAAATTGTTACAATTTGTTTGTTTAAATTTAATCATTTTCTCACTATGGAATCCTCTCTATGGTTTTCGCTTATTCTTTGGAAAGAGACTATAATATTAAGTCGACCAAATATTTTAGACTCAGGTAATGGTCTCGTCGACTAAGATCGCAGTTTCACTTATAATAAGATGTATAATATTAACATAAACGTATAGAATATTATAATTTATAATACATAAAAAATTTGGTGGCAGTCAATAATAGTTTTTGATATAAAAAAGAGCATGGTAACAACAAGGGACTTATTATTATATATATCCTTCCTAAAATATTTTAGGAGGGAATAATTTAATTCATCTTGTAAATCACAAATATTATAATACTTATTACTTTCACCGTTGTATAAATATTAATAGGGTAATTACAATTAATAATTTAATTTTTAGGTAACTTATATGAGTACTACGTATAAATACTACAGACTACATGAAAAATCAATTAGTTTGTGTTAAACTAACAGACTATCAAATCATGAAGTATCTGTACTTTATTTAAATTTTAAGACTATCAACAATAAAAGATAACGTTTATCAGCAATGAAGTTATCACAAAAAATATATTAGTCTGTTGTTTATTTTGAATACGTGTTAAACCTTAAACTCTTGGTTATATATAATAAATCAAGAAATATACCAAAAATAAATTTAAAATATTAGTCAAATTAGTTAGCTACATTATATTTAGTGTTTTACATGTTGGAATTTTGAATACACATTAAAATTTAGCACCAATTAATTGTTAAATGCTAAAAATCAAGTTTAATAGATTTTTATTCTATGGATTAAAGTATCATAACAGATATGAATGAATCTACTAGAGAAGATGAAGTTCAATCAAATTTTACCACAGAAAATATTAAATTACCTAATGAAAGAAAATTTGACAATATGGTTAACGGAGGAAGAAAATTATCATCTGATTTAATAGATCGATCATGTTATCCCGGTAAAACCATGTATGTTATGTCACCAGGTCCAAAGAAATATCAAACAATTAAAAAATCTCCAGATAAAGAACCAAAATTTGTACCTTATGAACCGTATAAAGCAGCAGTACGGTCTATAGTGCCAGAATTAAGTCAACCATCAATAGCAGTATTCAAAAGACGACTTTCAACTACTTCATCATGTAGTAAAATATCAAATTTTGTAGAGGAAGATGAATTAACAAAATTAACTCAGGAAAAACAAGTAATGTAACATTTTAAGTAATTTACAACAAAAATAATTTAACTATGTATAATGTAGGCTTTAGAAAAAGAACTTATTGAAATAAAAGAAAAGTTTGCGAATATGGTCCAACAAATAGAGTCACAAACTCAAGTAAACAATGAACTCAAAAATATGCTTGTAGCATCAATTGGAGAAGATGTTGAAGCAAAAATTCAAATGTTAACTGAAGATAAAGTTTTATTAGCTCATAAACTTCTCAACTATACTGGAGCATTAGCTGGACGACAAGATCAACTAGAAACTGTTGCAGGGGAAAGAGATGTTTTACGTAGTAAATTTCTAGCTGGCAGGTTATTGTTAAAAATCTATAAAGCTGGGTTCCCAATACTCATCTATTCACCGAATATAGAATATTTGTTTTCTGGTAAAAATAAACGATTATTTCCTTTGAAACTATTTGTTTACCCTTATAAATGACATTCATCGCTGTATCTTATATCATTAAAGCTATCAAATGGCCAAAAGAGGGTAAATAAAAAATAGTGAATATTGTTTATTGGGCTAATAAATGAATAAAAGGAACCTGGCTTTATTCTATTATAAAATACTATAGAATCATACATAATGATTAATTTTGAGTAACATACTTTAAGATACATTTTTTAGAAAGTAATGAAAATTTGTAATTTTTGTAAAAAGAAAATTTTTTATTCAAAACACTACAATAATTTTGTTAAATCATTTTTTCAGCTCTTCAGGATTAAAAAAAACTTTAAATTTAATTTTCTTAAATGGAAACTCATGACTTAATAATACTATAGAAAATAAATTTATAAACCAATATGAGTACATACATACACCAGTATAAGCTGTACCCAAACACATTATATATGTATCCACTCTATTTATTAAAATGTTGTAACAGATATACAGTTCATCACATAAAAAAAAATGTTTAAGATTTCTTGTCTATTATATTATTAAGTTAAAAATGAGAGTTCTTACTTAAGAAAATTTAAGGTTTTTTATTTCTTAAGGGATGGAAAAAATGATATTTAGTCATATATTATTGTATAGTATTTTGAATCAAATAATTTATCTTTACAAAAATTTTAAAATTTTTTCTTAAAAAATTAAGTGTCTTACTTAAAACTTAAAATTAATATATAATTTTTTTTATTATATTTAACTAAACAGTTTAATTATTGAAGACCTATCTAAATGGAAAAATTTTCTTTGTAAGCGGATAGACAGTTTAGAAAGTATATTAAGTACAATATTAGATGAAAATCGAAAAAATAGACATCTTTTGAAATCAGCACACGAGTAAGTTAATTGTAGTATTATAATAAAAGTTAAAATTTAATATTTATGTTTATTTGTTTTTAGAAATTTAAAAATTTTACAATCTGAATATAAAATTGAACCACTTGTCAAACAAAAATCACTGAATAGTATCTCTATAGCTGAAGACATTAACAGGATATCATTATTGCTTAAACAAAGTTTAGTAAAAAATTCAACTCAAGAGCTACAAGTTCATGCTGCAGTTCATCAAACTGAAGCAGAAACTCGAGCACAACAGGTAAAAAATTGCTGTATAATTTTTTTCAGAAATAGCAAAAAAAATAACACATTTTTTTTTAAAAATAACACATTTTTTTTTAAAAATAACACATTTTTTTTTAAAAATAATAGCTTTTGGGACAATTATTGCCTAGAGAACAAATAAATAATGTTGATGCTACATGCAATGCAATAATGGAAGCATCTCAAGCTCTAGAGTCAAATATTCAAATATGTTGTACCCATTGTACAGGAAATGTAAAATATGTTTGAACCTATTTGCAAAAATAGTTTAACTTTGTTATCATAATATTTATATAAAAATATATACATATTTTATTTAATTATATTTTTAGCAAAAAAAAAATGAATTCTTTTTTTTTGTATGCTAGTAATATAAAAATGAACTTAAAATAAGATCATACTATTCGTTAAATTTCTATTATTTAGTGAATAATTGAATTGAGCCACCCTTTTTATACATACACTAGTTTAATAATTTTGTAATTATAGTTTATTAAAGTTAACTTGTTTAAAATTTAAACAATTTTATTACTATTGATAAATGATACTACTATTGAAAACTATTTAATGAAAGCTTACAAATTCACTCATCTTCCAATCCAAATGTCGTGAGCAAATATAATATTTTTAGAGTTATTAATTTGTTTTGATTATTACTTAAGTAATTTTATATCAAATGAATATTTATTCAGTATATTTAAATAATTCAGATAATTTTTTATTTATGAAGTCAACATTCAGTATAACCCACAAATAAGAGTGAGCTAATATGTATGAATCTTTTTATACATAACTTAAAAACTATAGAATTTATAAATTAATTTATTCTTAAATTAAAATTTTCTAGATATCAAACTTGAGCAGATTTTAGTAAATTATATTTTAACTTCTTAGAGTAGACTAGTTTAATAATAATAAAACACTTAATGCTAGTTGTTGTAATGAAAGATACACAATTTTTTATGACATTTTAATTCACTGCAATGAACAAACACTTAGTTAAATAATAAGTGAATTATATAGTTATTAATAAATAATATATTGCTAAAAAAAAAATATAAGTTTATTATCACAGCTCATGTTAAAATTTTAATACTAAAAAATAATCAATTATTTTAATCCATTTTTTGTAATAATTTATTGACATTTTTCAAAATATTTTTCTTTTTCAAATCGCATAAACTGTAAACCTTGAAAAAAATTCAAAAATTTTACTTAGGAAGCACTTTTAAATAATTTTTTTTATACTTTAATTGAAGGAAGTTTCTCATTTTTTGATTTGTACTCATATTCATCAATAGATAATGATTGTAAAAAAATCCACGTATAATCAGGATGCTTTTTGTATAATTTTAAATAAAATTCCTGAGAAAATTCCTAAAATAATTAACTATTATTAATAATATAAATATATTATATCATATCAAATTATATTCTTCTTTTTCTATCCATCGTCTTTATCTCAACTACTTGAAATTTCCCCCCCCCATCCTAAACTTCCATTTGGTACGATCTCCCACATCATCTTCACACACATTAGCAATCCTCATATCGTTCAATAATATCCCTCTATCTCTTTTTCGGTCTTCCTCAACTCTACTTCCTTCAACATTCATTTTCATAACTGTTTTTACATCTACTGATTCCTCTCTTTTCATTTCATGACCCAACTATCCAAGTCTAATTTCTCTCATTTTATTCACAATTAACGCTACACCCTATTATTTGTTTGTTCCTTATTCTATCTTATTTAATCACTCCACTCATCTATTTAAGCATTCTCATCTTTGCTATACTCATTCTTTGCTCTGCTTTCTTATCAACTGTCCAACACTGAACCATACATCATAACTGATCTCACTACAGTCTTATAGAACTTACCTTTGAGCCTCATTGGAATTCTCTTATCACATAACACATTAGACACTTTTATCCACTTCACTCACCCACATTTAATACTATATATTATAACCTCGTTACTACAACTATTCTTTTGCACAACTAAATAATTAAAACTTTCCTACCTATCATATCATATTGTCACTGATCTACTCATTTCACCTACCTCGTGTTCTCTTTGCCCATGCAATCTTCTCTCCTTTTGCTCTTCTGCTATACTTTGAACTGTTAATTTTACTCTGTGATTTTTTGAACGTCCCCGTCCCACCATCAGGATTCCTTGTTTCCTGGATTTCTACTCCTACTCTCACCAACAATCTCCTTTGCAGTATTCTTCATACAACTAGCAAATCTATTCCTCATATCATTTATGTCTCCTTCGATATTTCACACCATTCTCTCTTATACCATCTTTAAAAACTATTTCTCTTTCTATTTCCACCACCAAATCCTCCTCCAGTTTCTTTCTGTTTTTGTGTACTCTCATCCCATTATATCACAATTATATCACATTATATCATAATTTATAAAAAAAATATACCAAATGATAGGTAAAGACATCATGCATCTATAAAATAAAATTATATTGATCCAAACATTTTTCAAAATGTTATAGCATTATAAAGTTAAAAATATAAAAAATAATTTTTTTATAACTTATTTTTTTTTATTAACTTTGATGTCTGTTTTCACTGTGAAGACAAAATAAAGTCCAAAATTTTTTTTTTCCATAATAAATTACATTACATTAGCTATGATTTAAGGTATATTTAAAAGTGTCAGTCAACACTTTCAAAAACTAAGTTGAAAAAGTTGCCATATTGAAACCTTCTCTATGGGCCAGGTAAAGGGTCAAATGTTCACAAAAATATATCAAATGATAGTGAAATACCTAAGGTATCTATAAAACAAAAATTTTTTTATTGATTTGTTCATTTTTAAATAAGTTAGTGCAGTTTTAAGAAAAAAAAAATATTGAAAATGACCGATTTTTAAAATTGTAATTTTTTGGTGGATTTCCCCCATTTACGTGAACGAGGTAATTTTTTTCAATTTTTGAGAGGGTAATGTCTTTGACTAGATACAATTTGTGATCTTTTGACGTATTGTTCATAAAAATCGGTCCAATGAGAGCTAAGATTGAAGGGTAAGAAACATAAAAAAAAAAACACATCATAATAAAATTAATACCTTCTCAGCTTCACATCGAAGCTAAAATAATGACATCATATAATTTATATTAATTAAAATTCTGAAAAAATATTATTACTTGTAAAATTAGTGGCTGATTTTTATCCAAATAATATGCAACAGAGTTCAAAACTTCATACAAGTCTTTCTCCAAAAAGTTCAAATTTAGAACTAAATCTCCTATATTTTTCAAAATAGTAGATTGAAGTTTATATTTATGATTAGTAAAATAAAAACTGTCTTGATGTATATTTCTACTTTCTTTCGAACTAGATTTAAGACGATCAATAATACTTGGTATAACTTGTCTGTAAAATTACATTATAATATAAATTTTGACTTTTACAAAACAAAGTTTATAAATATATTTTAAAAAAATATTTAAATAGTTAAATATTGAATCAAATTAAAATATTTAATAATTATTATAGTATAGACTATATTTTTTACACACTACAATTGTGACTACCATTGCAAGGGTAGCCTATCCATCTTTTAAAAATTAACTTCAATTATCAATAAGATAATTGCTCTGTATGAATCAATCAATATTTAAAGTTTTTGTCAAAACCTAATGCACTCTTATTATATTTGAAATCAATTTTTTTTAATGTTAGACTGTGCGTGTACTAAAATAATTAATTATGTTTGGGAATTGTACTATTAATAAATAGTCTACTGATTTAATTCTTAATTTTTTCAGAACTAAAATTATGGTATAAATGGATATTATAAATTAATATGTGTACAAGTAATAAATATTTTGATGGCATAGACAAATTTGATTTAATTATTTTAATAAATGTATAATAGAATTGATAAATTCTATCTATTCTACACTTATTTAACTCACTTTAATAAACGTGATCTTATAAAATCTTTAGACAAAATTCCCATGGTATTAAGTAAATTAAAAGCTTCTCGAAAAACTAAATCATTAGATTTCTCATTAAATTTAGTACATAAAGGTGACCATATTTTATGGATAATTGGCAGTAACTGATTTTCATAGTTAGATAAAACATATAAACCTTCATTTAGAATCTGTTAAAACATTTTGTCAATAATAAATATAAAATCATTTTTTCAAACTTTTTTTTTATTAGAACACATTCAAAATTTACTTGTAATGGAACAAAATGATGTTGTAAAGGTAAAAAATTTAACACGCGTTTCATAATTGATATGACCATTTGTACATATGATGGTAGTGGTTCCTTATTTTCTTCGTTATTTGTACTATTAACACATAAATAAAATTCAATGAACAAACGTGGTTACATTTAATATGTGAATTTAACAATACCTAGGTATATCATTTTTCCAGGTTTCATTGTCAGAACTAAAATCCATTGTCATCATTCGGTGGTATTGCAAAATATTTTCAATAAAACAATCAGAAGTTTGCAAAACTTTATCAGGATTCAATTGTGGTTTTTTATTAATATTTTGTGACCAATTTCGAACACAAACCACAAATATATAGAATACTTTTAAAAATGAATTGAAATAATCTTCACGGTAAATATCACAACTTTGAACCAAAACCTAATTTAAAAATTAATTAATACATATAATATTTTATTAAAGTAATTTACTAACATCGGTGACTATAGCATGGAATGATCTTAATAAATTTTCGTTCACGCCAATATTCATAACTACACTAAGTGCATTTAAAACTTCAGGGTGATCACATAATGTCCATAACTTGGAGCTGAAATGGTGTGACAAATAATCTGAATTTTGTATTATAATATCAACAGGATCTTTGTAACCACCTGATTTAGATAGAAGTACTATTGCTTTTTCACCTATTTATAATATAATTAGTTTTAAGTTGAACATATAACTAAAAATGATATAATATAAATTTACCAGCCAAAGATATTGGATTGAGTTCAGATCCTATACGTTCTAATATTGGATATAAACAATGAATTAAACATGCATGTTGTTTATCTACATCAAGAGAACAGATTAATTGACCAAGACCTTCAGTCATAAGACAGATTTGAATAACATTCTTTTGAGTATCTGATATATTTTGAGATAATTTATCATTAACAACTGTTGATAAGTACCAAGTTTCAGGTTCTAAATATAATTGTATTACATCACTAACTAAATTGTAATGATTATTATCATTCCCTAAAAAACAGTTTCCAAAACAACTATAATTTCTTATTTAAAATTTTTAAATTAATCATTAAATGACTTTAAATAATTAATTGTATTATATATTACCTTCTAATAAAATTAAGTTTAATAAAAATGTAATTTCTCTTCTGCAAAATATCTTGGTTTCAAATAAGTCCATTAAGTATCTTACTATATAATTTAAATCTCCATACATCCCTATAAGCTTACAAATACTTTCTACTTTAAATAAAGCAGAAGTATCATTAAAATGAACTAATTGTTTCCAAGGATCATTTAAAGATGATTCTTTAGACATTATGTTTACATTTTTCAAATCTTAATAAAAAAGGAAAAAATAATTAATTAATAATTCAATAATAAAAGTAATTTAGAGAATAACCTCTGATTGAATTATCTTCCAATAAAATAATATTTGTATGCTCAAGCTCAATTATTTCCATAAGAACAGTAATCATACGATCTAAATGAGCATGTGAATTAAGAATACGAGGTAAATGAGAATATCCAAAGAGCTTAAGATACCCTAATAATAATGACAATTCAGTCATCTGTTTAGAAATATCTAAAGTTAAAAATATAAATAAAATTTCAAATTTTTCAAAAGAAATTATTAAAAGTAAAAGAATGATATTACTTGACATTCTTATAGAACGTGGAATTCTTGTCAATAGAGCATAAAAACTTTCTTCAAGAAGTTCAATTAATGTCTTTTTGTTATTACCATCAAAACTTTTCATTAATTTGGAAACAGTTTCATTAGCTAGTTTATCAACTTGTGGCTGTTTATCATCACATAAGATTAACAGAGTTTCAACTAATTCAGTTACCAAAGATTCTAAAGAACTAAAGATCAGTTCAAAATACATAATCAAAATCAACATTAATTCTTATGATTGTTTATTTAATATTTTTTTGTTCTATGTATGTCTTCTCTACTGAGTAACTTAATTTTTATGTAAAACAGGACAAGAAAACCTCTACAGCTGGGTGGTATAGAAATTAAACCAAACATTTGGAAATTGAAACACAATGTTTCGAATCATATAGGCTGGAATTAATAATACTGAATTTTGCTGGACTTGTACTGGTTCATATTTTTAGTCAGAAATTATAAAATATGATTTTTTACAAATTTATTTAATCACATTATTTTTTTAATATGATTTAAAAAGAAAAAAATAGTAATTAACTAGTTAGATATTATAAAAAATTACTCCAAAGGAAGAATATCTAAATACACTTATACATTATCTTTTAAAAACAAGCAGCATCATTTAAGAGAGTATGCTAAATATAAATCTAAAAAATAACATTTATATTTAATTGTTAATGATAAAAAAATTATATTGTGAAATTTTTTAAGAAGATACTATGAATAAGATCAATTGATTTTCCTAAATTCAGGTATATTATGCACAAAAAATAATAAAACAAGACATCAAAAATTTTTTTTTTAGCAACTTACAAATATTATTTATTTATTGAATAATCAATGCATGTTTATTAAAATAGTAAACATAATTTATCTAGCTAAAATTACATAAATAATTTTATTAAAATATCAAGGCTGGGCTAGCAATCACAATTTTTCAACTTGTTAATTTTTAAAATTAACTTAACATTCTAACCAGGACTTAAAATCATTACAAAAAGTGTTAATTTGTTCTAGTAAAAACCGAATTTTACTTAAAATTGGTATGACGTTACTGGTTTTGTAAAAATCTAATGTCAATTATCATATTTTTAAAAAATTAAGAGAAAAAATAAACATTTACTGCTTAAAACTGGTTATGATTTTTCTAGTTACCTGTAAAAATTGGTTAATAATAAAATAAAATATTAAAGTACTTATTTTTACAAATAAAAAAAATTTTCTGAGGTTATTCATTGAGCAATTTTTTAGTACTCCTCTCCAAGTGTATTTAACTCATAATTATTTTCTTCATAAGAGGTTAACACAAAATTACTACTGTTTTGTAAAACTGTTATTATTACTACAACAGAAATAATAACAGTTAGTAATAATTATAATGATACAGTTAGGCTTTTGTTCTGAGGTGTCTTTCATTACTCCCTTAAATGAAAAAAAAAATGTATTTTCACAGTTTTATAATTATATTTTAAGGGAATTCATCCATCTAATAAGCTTCTACTTTTTTAATCATATAATTACTTAATAATGGCATAACTGTAAAAATGCATTTTCAATTACAACCACACGTTATTTAATCAATTTATCATTTTTATTTTATATATTTATTTTATAAATATTATTGGTTTTTGTTTAAAATATAGATTTTCTATATTAATTATTAAATTTTGGTTAATAATTTAGAAAAATATTGTATTACCGATAACAGATTAATAAAATTATTATTTTTTAAATAAAAAAAAATAAAATACCACTTCTTGATTAAAGAAAAATGAGTTATAACCAATTTTAGAGAAAAATCAATAACCAGTTTTAAGCCTTTGTTTTGTCTTTTTAACATATTAATTCCCAGTTTTATAAATTACTATATAAAGTGTTAAATATTGTTTTATTTATTTTTTAATACTACATATAATTATAATTGTAGAACTCTGAACACAAATTTTATAGAACAGATGAAGTTAATTCTTACTTCTCGTGACATTTCACCAAACTTTTAATTACTTAATTAAAATTATTAAATTTATAATGAATTAAAGATGTAAAAGCATATTAAAAAGAAATATAAAATAAAAAAGTATACATGATTTTGAATTATATTAAAAGTAAAGTTAAACAACAATTATAAAATATATTAGCAATATTTAATTTTATGACTTACCTTGTACATTTATTTAACAATATATCACAAGAAATGGCTAATTGTAATCTCACTCTCCAATGATGATGTTCTCTAGTTTTTATCAATTGAGATGCAACTAGTTTGAAATTTTGATTGTTTTCTTTGATCCAATCACTTATTATTTTTAATTCCTCATAGAAATTCTTATTTTTGTTGGGATTTTTATAATATTGATTAGATTCTACTATAAAATTCTCATCGCATATAATTAAAGAAGTAATTGAACTCCACAAATTCAAAGCAGCCTTCAAGAACACAAACAATTAAAAGAAATTCATTACATTTTAATATAATATTTTCAATTAAAAATAATAAATTATTCTATTTTTACCACTGTCAAAGAATGATGTTGAGTATCAGGAGCTTTAGCTACAAAAGTGCATATAGTTAAAATACCAGGTATAAATTTAATCAAATTTTGAACTATTTTATTCGAGATATTATAATCATTTATTTTTTTCCAAACACTTGTCAAAATTTGAATACTTTTAAGAGCTTCAAACCTTTAAGGATATATTTATAATTATTTGTAAAATTCTATAAATTATAAAAATATTATATAATTTTTCAAGATCTACATGCAAAATTTACATTTTAAGATGTAATAAGATACACATAATACCATTTTGGAATGGTATTATTTACTTATAGGTATTAATTATACTTTACAAGGCAATAGATTAAGAATTTTTTCACTCATTTACACTAATTTTTTTCAGAAAAAATTAAATATTAATTTTTGTAAACGATAATACTGTTTGACTTAAAAATCACTACAATAATATGTACTAATATATATTTTTTTAATTCTTCCCGAGATAAAAAACTTAAACTTTAATGGAAAACTTTTATTTTTAATTTGATGATACGATAAAAAAAATTTTGTTCTTGTAACTTTTTAATCTGATCAACTATTTGCATTTTAAAAATGTTTAGAGATTTTAATTTAATAGAAATTTATCAATACGTATAAATATAATATAAATATAATAAAAATACCTAAGAATATTCATTTTTTCATTCCTTATTATTTTTGTGCAAATATATATAAAATAACCAACATTTTTACAATCTGCATCATTATACAAATAAATTATAATAGCTTTATCTGATTTTTCAACCAACAAATTGATAGATATTAGAACTTTTAACTTTAAATCTTCTGAAGCATCAGACTCTGAAAATTCATAAACATATTTCATAAAAAAAATAATTAAAAATGTATGTAAATAATAAATATAATTGATTATAATTACCTTTATCTGGATAACTTTTGTTGAACAATTTAGAAACTAACAGAGAATAAATTGTGCTAAATGTAGGCCATACATTAATAGAAATTTTTTGTAAAAATATTGAAAGGACATCTAATACATTTAAAGTGAAATTGGAACTGAAAAATAAAATGTATTAGTTTTATCATAAATATAACTAACACATAAAATATAGATTACTTAGTATTATTTTTTAAATGTACTTCTATAGGAATTAGTATGTAGCGATGTAGAGGATCTAAAGAATTGATTGGAAGCAATTCTAGTGCATCTATAAATCTTTTTGAATTTTCTGAATTAGGTTCTGTTATAAAAGCATCGCACACAGGTTTGAGGGTAGCAAATGCTTTTTTAAAATCATCTTTTATCAATGTCATACTAACTTCTTTTGCTATAATTTTTGTATAACAAAATTATTAAAAATAAGTTTAATATATATTTAAGGTTAAATTGTCAAAATACATTTTTAATAAAATTTATCAGATTATAAAGAATAAAAATTTATATCTAAATACACAAAAATTTTAACTTTTTAAAGAATAACCTACATTAATTGAAACTAACATATATAATTGTGCTGTACGACTCAAATAACATAACCATAAATAATTAAAATTATTAACCGATATTTTATATTTTCAAAAATTTGAATTTTACTCATGACATTTTTTGATAATCAGGATATATTTATTGTACTTATGAATAGTGCAATCAAAATCTGATTAGACTACCATAAAATACTTAAGTGATCCTTGAGTACAAAATATTAGATATCATACAACTCATTTACAAATTACCATTAAATTTTTGTAAAAAGTTCAACTATTTCATTCTGCAAAACCGGTCATGGTGGTAGTATCTTCTACTATCAAGTATTAAAAAAGATAACTCTTGTGTTTTTTATCAGTCACCATTAATATTTACCAACAATACATGATTAATTGAAAAAGGTTTACTGTACGGTTACCATTATAAATTATTATCTCATGTATCATAGAGCAATTTTAAAAACTAAATTTTATTTAAGAAATTAAATAAATAGTATTCTTACTAAAATAAAATAAAAATAAATATGTGTAATCTACATAAAAATTATTTAGTTTCACACAAATGATATTTTTTACAAGTTATTAACATTTTTGATAGTTTACTGAAGGTGAGATGCGAGTGTTGTTATTTTTATCACTAGACATTTATCAGCTGTACTCTCATATTTCCCGCCTAGATATTAGATTTTTAATAACTGCCAAAATACTGTTTCAAAAGTTGTTATCAACCAATCATTTTCTTAGTTTTCTAATATTTAATCCATTAAAATATGTAGGCTACTATTAAAAAAAATAAAGTTGGTCTTATAAAAGATAAGAAAAAGATTTTAAAAATAATTAACTAGTTATAAATCGAGATAAAAATACTTAAATAAGCCAATAATAATTGCTCAAAATTATTATTCTTTCAGAAGAAATCTAGAGTTAATGATAAATCAATCAAACTGTAAATAATTTTTTTAATTTTCAGGGGCTAATTCCTATTTTTTATATACCTTTGTCTTCCTAAAGTTTGACGCTTTTTTATTTTCATGTACTATGAGGCTGAGATTGAAATAGGACGTGGCCTAGATAAAATTAGAGAATAGACTCAGTCCAACAATCAAAAAATGATTTCTACATATATTACACTTATAAATCATAAAACTTGTAATCAGGATATAAATAAAGAAATAGGTGATCTTGTTGCTTTTGGATAATCCACCAATTTCTTAAAATTAAACACTATTTACAGATTTGCATCGTAGCGTTTCTTATGATAGTGATTTTAATCACTATTAGATATCATATATACTTGTCCCAACTATGCCACGTACACATTTTGCCGGAATCCCACTATACTACCGTTTTTTTAAGATAATTTATGGAAAATTATAATTTTTGACCCAAAACAAATCTTGGTTAGATCTACATTAATAACATAAATTCAAGTGTAAAATTTAAATCGAAATTCAAATGACATCTTAAACGTGGTATTCCGTTAACTCTACAAAATTCATTTTCTTTACAACATTTGAGAATTAAAATTTTTTGCGGTTAAGAAAAAAATTACTACTTTATATTAAATATTTTAGGTAATTAATATCTCTTTTTACTTCCCTCAACACATAAGTACACAATTAGTATTACAAAAATATTTAAGGTTTTTAAACTACTTAATTATTTTTTTTTTATATATATAATTACCCTTGACTCTTGAAAAATATTACTTAAATCATTTGGATTTAAATCCCCATTTCGCTGAAAGGATAAATTTACTCATACTCTATTTGTATATATGTCACCTTAAAATAAAAGAATCTTTAACCAATTTTTTTTAAAAGTAAAAATTCACTTCTTCAATGGAAAACATAAATATGGTTATTTAAAAAATTTAAATTTACACATTTTAGCTTTAAATAAAATCAATATCCTTTATTGTATAAATATTATATAATAATTATTATTAAAAGATATTTTTCTCATAAGTAAAGAAAAAAATGTAAACCTGTATATTTTTCTAATTTTATATGAATTATTTGCTGAATTCTTAAAGTTTGATATATTTATCATCACTTGGGTTTTTTTTTTACCATATTTTGAGAATTTAGTAAATTTGGCTTTATAAAGCTATATATTTTTACTCCATCGTGGTTGTACTTCAAAAAATTCAAATAAAGTAAAAATGTTAATTTTAATTTCAAGTTATGTAAACTGAACATTGAAACATAATAAATTAAAAAATCCTAAACAAACATTAACCAGATAATATTGAGTACTTCATTTTTTAATTAAATAAATTTTTACTAATATTTGTGTAACTGTTAACCTTAACAGTAAAAGTATTGATTAATTATTTTTCGGTTTTAAAAAATATATTTTTCGCTAGTTGCTTATGATTTTTAAAATATTTAGATAGAACATTAGTCGCGTATTTTAATTTGGGACATGGTTTTGAACAAAACATACTTTGCATTGCTTTCTTTATATCGATAAGATATAGTTTTTGTTCTTTTTTTTTTTTTGAGAAACATTCGTAATATTTGGGCGTATTTGTTTGATCTGCTTAGTGGAATGATAAAATCATTGTAACAAACAACAATTAATATAAGTTAATGCTTTTATTTGACTACAATAAGCTTTAGTAAGCTTATTGTAGTAATTGAAATTGCGTATCTACTGATTTTCCTTTTACCTTAACAAACGTAGCGGAATTTATTACGACTAATACAGTGCTTTGTTATAAAGTAGAAATAATTTCAACTCTTACAACATTTTTATGATGAATAAAAAATTATGATTCTTAGTAAAACAGTGTACTACAATAAACAGATGATATATGAACTTTAAAAACATAGACATTAATTTTAAAAACAAATAAAAAGTATTTGAAATAAAAAATTGTTTATAAAACTTCAATTAAATATTTATGATGAAAATGATATTATTTGAAATAATAAAATATTTAGTCTTAAAAAAGTGTTATTGGCTAGTTTTAAAATAAACAAATGATATACTTTATAATCTACTAACAGAATTTTTTGTTAAGTTATTAACCTGTCTACTCATAAAAAATAAATAGAAATTCCCTAGCAGAGTTGTTTTATCAATCAACATACTAGTTTTTTTAGTATGTTTAGAATATTTATATATTGAAATTTACAAATTTGAGTATTTATTAAACACATTTATACAAATTGTTTATAGTAATAAATTTATTGTAAAATAAAATGTCTTTTACTAACTCTTGTCATTAATAAAATCTCTCTTTATTGATAATATTCTTGTCTTCAAGTTTAAGTATCTTTAAATCAGATAATTATTTTTATCACCGACAACAAAAGTTAATGACGTTTTATAATATGTCTAATATAATTTTTTTTGTATTTACTTTATAATTTTAATAACTTTGATGTTTATTAATTATTTTAAACTTATTATTCTATCACTCCATACATAAAATAACTCAATTAAGACAAATTGGTCATATTTTATCGGCTAGTCGAAAGTTTTTGATTTCAAAATTATTGTTTAATATACAGAGTGATTTTTTTTATCATAACCCACTCAATTACTTACAGAATAATAATAATTAAAAATTTTTTTTTATTACTATCTTGAGTTACACATTATTCTTGAATTATTAACTATGTAATACTTTTTAAGTTCATCCCTTATGCCTGGTAAGGGTGTCAACTTTGTTTTTTTAAATGGTAACACGTATTTTTAATTCAATAAAATGTTTGAGTTTTTAATTCAATAGTAAATGGCATTTGAATTTTAAATGAAACTTAATTTGTTTATTAGATATAAACATTTAAAGTTTCAAATTTTTGAGTTAATATATAGGTATAATACACAAGGGATTACAAATACAGGTAGCTAATTGATTTTTTATGACATCTATATTAGTAGGTACACAGCATTGTTATTATCAATGATAGTAAGGTACATTGTTGTGAGTTTATAAATACACATTATACATAATTAAAATTTTTTAATTATTATTATTCTGTAAGTAATTGAGTGGGTTATGATAAAAAAATCACCCTGTATATTCGTGCTATTAAGGAGAAGCTCATTAATAAATAATTATACAATTGTTTATAATTATGCCACTTAAATGACTTTTTTTTAACTATTTTTACATATAAATGAGTACAGCTTTATGTTAATTTCGATTGATTGAATTTTAGATATGAGTTTTGTAATCTAAATTAGATATTTTCGATTCAAAAATTTTACTTCTAGTAGCCAACCTAACCGCACCCTATTGAAACCATAAATATTTATTGTTATAGTAAATTGCCTTACGATAAAAATACATTTTTTAACACGCTTATATTAGTTTCACCTGACTCCCTCTCCGGAATGGAACTCTGATTTCCCGTTACCCGTAACAACCAAGATATTGATAGTAACTACTATCATAACATGAAACTAAAAAGTGAAAAATAAATATAGTTTAAAAGAACTATAAAAACACGCTTTTAAAGCACATTGAACTAAAAATTATTTTTAACTTTTTAGTTTGATGTGCTTTAAAAGCGTGTTTTTTTAGTTTTTTTAAACTACATTTATTTGAGTTAGATTACATTTGAATACAATGAAGTTTCAAATATATTATACACACTGTGCAAGCAGAATATGTAAAGCCCTTATGTGATAGCCTAAAGGATTTACTATGGGTCTTTATGAAAATTATTTTTGCCATTTGTAACGATACATGAATCTTTATAATCTCGTCAAATACATATTCAAAGTTACCTTAAATTGACTTGTTAAATTAAGGTGGATACATCCTCATACAAAAAAAATTATAAGTAATTTACAATCAACAAACTTTATGATCGACTGTAAACTCAAAGTGATAAGACAGAAGTTGGGGCCATTAAAATTTTTTTAATATTGATAATTTTATTTTCAAATAAAGATAAAAGTGTATTTATTTAAAAATAATTTAATATAAATATAATATCTCATTATATTTTTGTCTAGCAACAATATAACTATTTACTGTCAAATATTATATCGTCAAATTTATTTTAGTCAAAAAGTCGTAACATTGCTAAGTGTCGTGTTTTATTACTAAATTAAATTGTTAAAGCAATATAACAGTATGATGTGCTTAAAGAAATTGTTTAATAAGGTTTTCACAACAAACAATAAAGTTGATATTATAAACATTAAAGTAAATAATCAAGTAACCAATAAATGCAAAGGAAATTTCAAGAACTAGAGCGACCTCCAAGCAGT